GATAGTAAATTATGTATGAATATTTTCGTGAACGATGTAAATATTTTGTGTTCATACATTTTTGTGAGCGATACAACCGCTTATTTCTAACAAAATAGTTTCCAGATCACCGCGAAACAAACGGAGCCTTGGTCTGAGAAAATTTGTTGAGCTACACTAATTTAAGTTAGTAATCTCTGACAATAGAGAATAAATATAAGGAGCTACTAGCCAACGTAAAAGTTGGTAACACTTAATAAAAATGCTCTAACTAAAAAAATCAAGTAATTGAAATGAGAGTTGATAACCCAAAACCGGTTGATAATTGAATTGGACAAAAATTGGTAATAAGACATTCTAATATAGATTGGTAATTTCATAGAAGAGTTAGTTAATTCGAAGTATTGGTAAGTCATACAAATAAAGTTGGTGAGTTTTTACAAAAATTCTTAATTTGCAGACTACAAAACAAAAAGATTGGTAATTTCGTAAAGTCAATGGTAAATTACCAATTAGTCAAAAAATTTCTTTACCAACATTTTTTCTTTTCCATCATCCGACACTTGTTAGAGTTTTCTTTGTTTTTTCCATGAAAATCCTTTCTAAAACTTATGCAGAATCAAAAGACATATCGCCTAAAAAAGTTATCAAAGCGATGAGACAAGCACAATTTTTTGCAACAGGATATATAACGGGAGACACACTTTAATAGCTCGATTCCTCTTATTTTCTACAAATTTCCTTTCTTCCACGAGATTCCTCTTTACCGACCTTTTTTTTTTTTCATCATCCGACACTTGCTAAAATTCACAGATACGGGAAAAAAAATCAGTATTCGCAAACGCGGAACAATGAAATTCATATGTTTTCACCAAGGTTCTACCAACTATAACGGCTATTTAGTAGGACGCTTGTCCGATTGACACAAATTCTACTATTTAAATCGACACTCATTGGCATTAAAAACCATCTCATAACACATGATTTGATTCGTTTAACATCGCAAACCTTTGGTGCAAATGCGAGTAAACTAATCGAGGACTATCATATTCTATAAGTAAATACATAAATATATATGCGCACTTAGCTGTTATTTTATAGATAGTAGCATGACATGCACATGTGAGATATATATAAATTAATAAAGTAACGGAAACTACGTGACCCCCCAGATGCATATCTCTGACAATAGTCATTCAAAACGACATCGAACATAAACAATTAAACTTCGAATTTTTTAAGGTTTTATTGAAAAATAATCTTAAGAAAAGGATAGTGCGAATTCTGTCTCTGAGGAAGGTTGAACTGGACAGGAGATGTCACAAGAATTTCGACATTATATATTGAGGTCGTGTTTTATCTTTATTCTATTCTGCTAGGTTTTGCCGGTACTATCCGATATAACCCTTCATTTCGCTTTGTCCCGCTTCGATCTAGTTCCCGTCATCTTATCCTTTTGACCGGCGTCGTGCCCACTCTGGCATGCACATAAGAACAGGTGTTAAAGAAGTATCTGTCACACCGCTTGTCCACGGGGTTTATGTACTCTTTATAAACACACATGATTTGATCGGGTTTTCTAACTAAATCGAGAAAAGTTAATTACGGGTGTTAAAGAAGTATCTATCACGCCACATGTCCACGGTTTATGTACTCTTTATACACACACATGATTTGATAGAGTTTTCTGACAAAATCAATAATAGTTAAATTTATCAAGAAAATTTTGCGCTTTTGGCACTTCCAAAAGGATGAGAGAGAGAGAGATAAAAAAGGAACAGTCATTTGCATCTGCCAATTGATCTCAAAATTTTTATTCAAATCCGCGAGGTCAGCATTTGAACTTTGCCCTTTTCTGGGTGATGTTCCAGGATTTGGGTAGAGGAGGAGAACATGGAAAATTCAAATAAAATATACGACAATGTGATCCAATCTGGTTGGCTTGGACTTGGATAAGTGACATCAGCTAGTTGTACCCCCTCCCCTTTGCACCTTTAGCACAGAAGAGCACGAGGGCAAAAGCTAAATGCAGAATCTATGATTTGGAAAGCAGATCAGAAGCCTTTGGAAAGCACTGAAGATATATATCCTGCTTAATAAAACCCTAGAAATCAGATGGAGACAGCAAAAAGAGGAAGGGGAGATTTGGGCAACAGGCTGGCCTTGATCCAAAGTGGTTTATGCAATGTTCCTATGCTGTGGCCGACAAAGCATATTGGGGTTGTCATGCAACGGGCTAAACTGAACTTAGTATGAAGCTCTTCCATATGCCGTGACCATGAACTTTGAGGACGATATGCTTCGATTAATTGACCTTTCTGATGAATGATATTCCTCTTTTGGAGCAAGAAGGTACCCATCGCGTGAATATGTGTATGTTTTCGGCGGATTTAATCGCGTAAAAAAGAAGAAAGAAAAGGAAAAGAAACATACGGCTATTTTGAACCGGGTCGAAGGAGGAGGAGGAGAGGTTTCTCTCAGAGAGGAACCCGATTTGAATGGAAAACGACACTGGAAGCGTAGGCACCGGGCCGGAGGATACCAATTAGAGCGCGATTTCGAGGAAATTATATATTGAATTTGCTCTTTTCAAGGGTCAATGTCTGCCTTGTTTATTCATTCATTTATTTATTTTTCCTCTGTTCTTTTTTAACTATTCATCCGTTGGGGTTCCTTTGCCGCCAAGAACATAGTTTGACCATTGACCGGTGGATTTCAAACGACTTTCGTCAGTACCTTAGCTTCGAAGTATTTCCAGGCACATGAATAAATTTTTTTTAGTTTTTGCTACAGCCTAGTTTTGCGAACTCTCTAGAAATATATTTATTTTATTATTATAAAATGTACATTAATTAATAATAAAGTGAATGATCTAGAATCATACTCCGAGAAGAGGCATCAAATTAATGTTGGTTCGTATATATGCCCTTTCTTGATTGCATCTGCTAGCTAAGTGAGCTATCGCTAGTTGTTTCTGAATAACTACTACCGATGGCGCGAGATCATCGAAATGGATATCCTAAAACCCTAAAAATAAATGGCGTCATTGACTTTATAATTTCATATAGTTTTGATCATAGAGATGTGCCCACCTATACATTTCATGCGTAACAAACCTAAGTTCCATTATCTAAGGACAGGGACACATCAAATGTCGATACGATAGGCTTTCTATGGCATACATTAAGCTTGTCGATAAGTTTCTCTTCACAAAACAGTATCTTCGTAAAAAAAAAAATTGAAAATTTTCTCTCTTTTTCCATTTTCCATTTTTTTAAAGTAATTTTTTAAAAGAAATGCAAAAGTTGTCCACGTCAGCGCCGGTCGTGTCACATGAGTCAAATGAGCTATAGCTAGTTGTTTTTGGATAACTACAACTAATCCCGAAAGATCATCGAAATGGATAACCTAATACCCTAAAAAAAGGGTTGTTGACTTTATAATTTCTTGTAGTTTCGATCATAGAGATGGGTCCATCTAGATATATCTCATGCATTCCAAAATCTAAGTTGCATTATCTAAGGACAGCGACACATCCAATGTCAATATGACGGACTTCTTAGAGCATACATTAAGCTTGTCAATAAGTTTCTCTTCACAAAACAGCATCTCCATAGCATTATTCTGAAATTTTTCCTTTTAAAAAGAAATGCAAAAATTATCCACATCGGCACTGGCGGTGCCACGTAAGACGGCCGGCATTCATGTCAGCGATTTTTCGCCGAAATTGGTCAAAAGGATTATATTAGCAAATCGCCAAAAGGTTTAGGACTAAATTTAGTCAGATTGAAAAGTTCATAACCGAACCGACATCCGGTACGATATGTTCATGGCTTTTTTGGTAATTTTCTCCCCGATATCGTGAGAACATCGGGCTTTGTTTTTATGCTGTATTGTAAGGTTTCACAAGAGGAAGGCTTCATCCGTTGCTTGATTTTGGACCACTTCATCCGTGCTGTTTCCACATGCATCAACTTGGGTCTTCCCTTCGACCAAAAAAAAAAACTCGGGTCTTCCCAACGTAGTAATATGGGGAAGAGCTTGTTTGGGGGGAGGTGCATTTGCATTGTCCTCTCTCTTAGTTGGACTTTGGACCTGATCATACAATTTCCGAACTATGAAGAAAAATTTCTTTATTCCGTCGAAGATTTTTAATTGATGTGATGCGTGGTGATTGGCTCGTATTAGACAAGTTTTACTACGTCAACCGATGTATGGATCTCATCAGTTTTGGACCCGATCCGAAGGGTCGTCGCCATTCTTTTTGTCTGGTCGACAGGGCCGTCGCCATATGACGACTCGAACAATGGATACAAAATGCGAAACCGAGGCAGAAAACAATGGACCCGGCCAAGTTTATCTGGGATTTTTTCTGCCTAGATAATGCCTCATCCGGTCGGGTGCATATATCTTCCATGTTAAGCTTGCTCTCTTGTCTGCGCTGTTTTTGCCCATTCTTGGGATATTCCTTCTCTTTCGGATTAAGCAAGCGGGTCTGATTCAATGTCATCTACCGCGCTTTGACTCTTTGCAGAATTGAAAAAGATCGATGAGGATGACGATGATGAATTTGACTTGCGAAGTCGCATGAAAGAAAGCCTCCCTCGCTCTGATTTTGTAAATTTTAGTTGAACCCACACCGATACTTACTTCAGCATGAGCGTGTACCGTCGTCATGGTGTTAAATTTAAGGCCACTGCCTTTTCTCGTAGTTTACATGTTGAACGGATACCTGCATCTGGCACGTAGGAGCCGCAACGCTACCACGCTGAACAGATTATCGAGGGAGAATGATACTCCGATGAGAGAATATCAATATGACCATGGTAACACAACCTGGAGATGGAGAAGTGTAGGACTGGTTCGCGGTCACGATTTGACAGACACCATGTCGGATTTTTTCTTTCGAATGGATTTAGAACTCGAGTTTGATCCACCACTGTATAGTTCTCCGACGAAATTCCTAACGGACTTGCACGGGCAATCTCTAATGTGGACAGACGAGGTGAGTTCGAACAAAGTAATCTGACAATTGCATCGCAATCTCTGTTCCACATTCTAAATTGTTCCAATACATGAGGGCTTCACCATGACATCTCCACTAAAGGGCCCAAGCAAAGAGGCAGAGGATCGATTGCCGGTTTACTACATTTCAGATGGGCCTGATCACGACATGTTCGGCCCATTATTAACCAGGTCTCATTCCTCTTGAAACAGGCGCATAGAGACCCTGAGGGCACTTCAGACTCGCGTTGCAGAAACGACAGCAGTATGAGAAACTAATACCCAAAACTCCAAAAGGCCATTAGCATGCTCGATAAAGGAACGGATATGTTGTCATCGAGCACCTCCGTAGTTGGAAGAGACTCCACGACCGTCGCCACCAAAGAGATCAGCGCAACCCGCTGCAATGCCATTGTCCAGTCCAACTGAAAATACCCGAGAGATGAGAAGTAATGGAGCATCCTACATTCGCGAGGACAAATTCCCATCGTCAGATTCGATATAGATATATAGACCGGATGAAGTGAAATAGAAAGCCAAAGGGCATCGCCAACGCACCCTATCGATATTACGAAACCGCATATGAACATAGATATGCTACCAGCCCAACTCTTTTGCTGGTTATAAGGAAGCTTTTGGGATCCAAATCTTCTCCCAATTATATCAGCAATACCTGCATAGGCAATGTTAGAACCAAGTAATTCGAAGAATAGCGAAATCTCCTGTCATAAAGAGAAATGTTTACCATCCCCACCACTCATCATTGCCAATGAGATCACCCCCGTTGGGGATTCACGCCAGTAGACAATAGCGCATAAAATCAGTATCATAACATAGTATAATGGGCCCCTTAACAATTCCCTGAAAGGCACAGATGACAGAAAAGAAGCTAAGGCAGGATCGCTAATAAAACGATAATGAATCCACTTATCCAGAGGGGAAAAGGGAATGATGAACTCAAAATGAATGAGAGAAAATTTACCGTGGATTTCCTTCTCGGGTGACGGACTTCACAAGTCCTTCATCAGTAGCCAATGAGAACCCGTTAACGACGAGCCTTAAGCAATTCACTAGGGGCACCAAAGAAGCGAAGTAGCGAGCCTCCATGGAGTTGCTATTCTAGAATTAAAGTTATCAGCCGAAGCATTTTAAAGCTTTAATCATGTGTGCTCAATAGAATCAATTCAGTATGGCTTTGTAAACAAGGGTAATACCTGAAGATCGGCCAAGAAGCCATGAATAGCAACCCAGACAATATGTGGACTAATTTTCTGCTCAGGCTCTGCTTCAGTTCGAAAGGGCGACAAAATCGACGAGTCAGGTCATTTATGAAACAGGGTTCTCAATCGGTCGAATTTTATTTTTCAGGCAGAAGATGATTTGTAAGCTACACTGTCACAATTCATACACCGCAGCATGATTAGTAAAACATGAACGTATGATTATTGTGCATTGAACGTAAGACGATTGTCATGCAGGGGATTTGATGGAAACAGATTCATGAATTCACAATTGCAGTTGATGAAAGCAGCTACAAACCCATTAGGACAGAGCGAGCAAACAGAGACGTGTCGGGGGGGGAGAATTGGTAGCCGTTGGATCATAGACAAATATGTCTCGGCCGCACATTAGAGAGGGGATTCTGTACTTTCTTATCCAAATTTTGAAACAGTCGAGGAAGAAACAACCAAGGGAAAACATCGGTGTCTTTCATTCACATGAAGAAGTCATTCGTGGTGACAATATCTACATCATTTTCATGCTCCTCCAGCTAGTTTCCCTTAAACATGGGATCGGCGATGTCCAAATCCTAAGTCCCGTTGATCAATTTGAATCTCCTAAGGGTACCACACACAGCTGCCCGAGTTCTTGCAGAAATCTACAAACAGCGCGCTAGCAGATGGAACCACCAAACAGCGGATGAATTCGTCATGCGTTTTGCTTACACATGCATTGAGAGAGAGAGAGAGAGAGAGGCAGGCCTGTTGGATGAGGTTCCGCTGGGTGAGAGTGTCGAACGTGAGGACGAGGGAGTAAGCTCCGGCGAGCACCGCCGCGGTGGCTCCGGCGTCCTGCGCGAGGGCTCCGCCGCCGGGGCCGAGGATGCACCGGCAGAGCGATCTCCGGGGCGGCGGGCCATGAGGCTTTGCTCCCACCGCGGTCGGGACATGCACGGACGAGGAGAAGCGATGCAGAGAGGGAATTCCGGGGACGGCCGGCGGACGGCGGCGTCGGACGGCCGAGACGGCGGCGCGGTGGTGGTTAGAGACGGCGAGGGAAGAGAGGCTCATCCTGCTCCGCCCCGGTGGAGGAGGAGAGCGAGGCGATGGCGGAGTGACCGACGGACAAGGCCGATTCGCGTCGTTTTGGTCGGGTGGGTTATTTGCTGGTCGGGTCGCTCCATTTCCCGTCTTTCGGATCCGGACCGAACCCGATGCGGGGAACAAAACGGGCCTGGATCCGGGTCCATCGGATCTATTTGGGCCCTCGTAACCGCTCGTTTATATGGATCTAGTCCAATGGATCATAGAACTAGCCCAAATTCGCCAAACTAAAGTAATCTAATCATCAGACCAAAAAAAAAAAGTAATCTAATCATATGCCCACAATCTTTCATGGTACTTTTCTCGTTTATTGACATATTTTGTGTCGTAGATCTTTATTTGGAAAATCTAAAATGTTTTTTTTTTTTGGTAACCCGGGAACCCCCCGCACGGCCGACAGCCGAGGAGGTAAACCTGGGGTGACGCTAGCGCAGGACCCACCACCACGACGTCACGCTTAAGAATCCCTAACGCCAGCGCTAGGATTCGAACTCCTACCCTTCGTGGGGGGAGGGGAGCCCGAAGCCAGCGCAGCCGCTGAGGGCGGTGGTGAAAATCTAAAATGTTGTGATGCATAATTTTGTAAAAACCCATGAATAAACGATCCTAAACCTATTATTGAAGAGTACAATCGAGTCTCGAGCTTTTTTTCCATTTGTGCAAAATGCCATTTAGAACTACCGAGTGCAATTAACTTTTGAGTCCCATTAGACGATTTCTAATGTTTTTCACTCAAATGACTTGATTGTACTTCTCTGGGAAAAAGAGGTATGAGATTTGATTGTGTTAATTGAAAGATTTAGAACTTGATTGCATTATGTGCATGAGATTAGGATTTTTTTTTATGTGTTCTATATTTTTAATGAATAATAACCATCAATATTAGGGAAAATTATACAAAAATTCTTAAACCTATAGTTCGATGGTCAATTCAATCTTAAACTTTTCAATCGTGCCAATTTAGTCATAAATCTTTTGATGATTTATCAATTTAGTTCTAAACATTTTAACGATTTTTCCAATTTAGTCATTCGGGTCAATTTTGACCAAAAGGACGTCGATAATTTTTTGATTTTTTTTTTTTTGTCCCTTCCTTTTCTTTTTTCTTTTTCCCTTTTTTCCTCCGCCAGCCTCGGGCAAGGGTTGCCCTCGTGCATATCAGCGTTTTTTTGCAAAATTGGCCAGAAAGACTAAAGGCGCGCATGAAATCATTTCTGTTTCTCTATTTTTCTGTTCCCAGGAACAGATTTGGAATAGAAATTCGTTTGGTAACGCAATTTCATTTTTCTATTTTTAGAACAAATTTCTATTCCGGAAATAGGTTTGGAACAGAAATCAGAAGTAAAAAAAATCTATTTTTCTATTTCTGGAACAGAAATGAGAAATAAAAACTCTTATCATCGCTCGCCCTCGCTACTAGCTAGCCACCCCATTGCCGCCGGCCGCCTCCCGCCAACGCCTCTCGCCTCTCGCCACCGTCGGCCACCAGCCACCTCTCGCCGGCGTCCTTCGCCGATTGCCTCCTCCCACCGCCAACCTTCGCCGTTTGCCGCCGCCTAACGCCAACCGTAACCCGCCCACCGCCGCCTCCTGCCATCCTTCGCCGCCACTTGCCGGCCGCTCGGAAGCCGCCGGCCACCTCCCATTGGCCGTCTCCCGCCCGTCGGCCGCCGTCCACCGCCCGTTGCCTCTTGCCCTTGACCACCGTCCTCCGCCACCCGACGCCGGCCACCACATGCCATCGGCCACCGTCCTCCACCGCCGGCCGCCGTGCTCCACCACTCGACGCTGGCCGCCGCCCGGCGCCGATCGCCTACCACCGTCGACCGCCTACCGCCGCCGACCACCTCCCGCCGCTAACTACCTCCCGCCGCCAGTCTCTGTCCTCCGCCGCGGCCGGCCGGCCACCTCCCACCGCCAGCCACCGTCCTTCGCCTCTCGCCGCTACTCATCGTCCTCCGCCGGCCGCTCGGAAGGGAGAAATTTTGTGTTATTATCAAACGAATTTCTATTCGGAAACAAAAATTTTGTGTTGTTATCAAACGCGCATTTTTGTTCAGAAACTCATCCAGGGAACAAAAATAGGAAAATTTATTTATGATCAGAAATTAATTTCTGAAACAGAAATGTTACCATGCACGCCCTAAATTGGCAAATCATTAAGACTGCGTTTGATCGTCCGAATTCGGATTGGAATAAAATTGGATAAAGGGGGATTTGAAATCCTTCGTATATCCTCCAGATTGTGTAAATATCTTATCATATATTTGGTGTAACCTATAACATAATTTAAAATCTTTGAAAATCTTTTAACATAAGAAATATCCCATCGGTTCTCTATCTCTCGGGAAAAGTGTCGAACGCTTGGTGAGTGTGGACTTGAAGGTGCAGCTATTGCGGTGAGGAGGGAGTGGGAGCATGATGGAGGAGGACTCAGGAAAAGTGCCGAACACTTGGTGAGTGTGGACTTGAAGGCGGAGTGTAACCTATAACATAATTTAAAATCTTTGAAAATCTTTTAACATAAGAAATATCCCATCGGTTCTCTATCTCTCGGGAAGAGTGTCGAACACTTGGTGAGTGTGGACTTGAAGGTGGAGCTATTGCGGTGAGGAGGGGGGGAGGAAAGTTCTTCCATTAAGCAAAATTCTGAACTAAAGGCGGGGAGGGTCTATCTAGCGTTTCATCAAACACTTGGTGAGCGTCTAGTTCACAGTTGACCAAGAGAGAGATCGTGAACAATGGTGGCCGAGAATGATTAATCAGAGATGAAGTAGAGAGAGGAACCAAGAGATGATTAAGCGATGGTTGTACAACTAAAAAACCGACTGACAAAGAGGGGAAGCCACGGATGAGGTGGTGAGCCTGAGCCTTCCAAGTGAGCCGTGAGCAAGGGCACCGGTGACGATACTTGAGGACGCCGAAGTGAGGGATAGTCATGGTGGACGACATGGCCATCGAAGTGGTGGTGGGTGCTGGTGAGATACGCCACAAACAATGAGTCTCGCCTTAAGTTGGATTTTCCTAGTGCATGGGAATTGTTGAGTTTATTTTTAAAAATTTATATCTAATTCGAGTTTATTCCGGTCTTTAAGTCGGATTTCTTATTTGGCATTTTATTTGGATGTATTCGGGTTTATTCGATCCGGAGAACGTCACAAAACACCGGATAAGATAAATTTGTTATCCTATCCTAAATACAATCCGGACCAATAAACGTAGCATAAAATGTTTATGATTAAATTGGCAAATTCATCAAAAGTTTTAGAACTAAATTAGTTAGTTGTCAAAAGGTTTAGGATTAAGTTGGCACAGTTGAAAGGCTCAGGACTGAATTGGCCACCTTATAATAAGTTTTGACAATTTTCCTATCGGTATAATGTTCAAAACCTAATTGAATGTTTAAAAAGAATATAGGCTCATTGCTCCCAAGTACTATGTCATGACATTCACTCTACACATTGAAGTACATACTATCAAAATGCTAAGATCAAATGCAGATGCATTAATTAAACACTAGAGATACAACTTTGTCCATTAGATCACCCTCAATTCCCAATTTGGACAATTCGAAGGCCAAATGCAAACATTCTAATCTTAGAAATAACACGACACGCATGGATAGCCACGTAAGAGGGAATTTATGTTGATTAGGCTCAGGCATTTGAGACGAATCCCTTGATGTAAAATGGAAATTATTTGGCATATTACATCAAAGGAACACTTGGGGAAGAGGCATGGCTCGATAGTCCCGTCGCCAAATTAGGCTAACACGAAGAAACGATCGCGTTGGTCAAAGTCAAATTAGTCGAAGTATGCTCGTTACTTGCCAATTGATAGGAAACATTTTTTATTTTATTTTTGCTTTTACCAACTCTAAAATATCGATAAAGATTATTAGCTAATTGTGAGAATTACTTAATTAAAAATTATTTGGTACCATTTATCCCACTAAGTACCAAGTCTTCCGGCGGATATATCAACCCGAATATCCCGTTTGGATATTTCTCCTCCACCCAATACGCACGTCGTTTCGCTCCGTCACGACCCCGGTAGGGCCCGCCACTCATTTATTTGCATCCCGCTTTCTATTCTAAAAATAAAGCGAAACCGTTGACCCTAAGTAGTCCAAGGTGCCAAAAACGGCACCGTTCAATGATTGATGCGGACGATCGCATATATGCGCGGAGCCACTTCTCAAAAAGTCAAGAGCAACTGCCAATCGGCCATTTGGGTTCCTCCGCCAAATATTTTCCTCCTCCTCCTCCGACGACGACGATCACCGCCACCACCATCGGAACTCGATTCGGCCATGGAGGGGACGGTGACGTGCGGGTCGTGGATCCGCCGCCCGGAGAACGTGAACCTCGCGGTGCTGGGGAGGTCGCCGCGCCGCGTCGGCGGCGGCGGCTCCTCCTCCTCCTCCTCGCCGTCCTCGCTCGAGATCTTCGCCTTCGATCCCAAGTCCACTTCCCTCTCCTCTTCCCCGCTGGTTCGCCTCGTCTCCTTCTTTTCTCTCGATGACGGCCGAGGTCGCATTGTGATCGCTGCTTCTCGCGTTTTTTACCGGGCGTGCCCGATGCCGTTGTTCTCTGCTTTTAGGTTACTCATGTGATCGAGGAAATCGAAGGCGATCCGCTGGCGATCACGGTTCACCCCAACGGAGAGGATATCGTGTGCTTCGCGAGCTCCGGCAGTTGCTTGTGAGTCTCGTTATGGCGGATTCCGTCGTGAAATTTTTCTTTTCTAGGTTGGCTCGATTTTATTGTTGCAGAGCACCGTTCCTTTTTGGCACTCTACCCGGTGCTCGAATGTCGCACTTATCTAACTTGCGAAAGCATAACTAAGCGGTTTACTTCTTGTTGGGTTTAACTCATGGTCATGCTCGTTTGAACTGTTAATTCCCTCCAGAATTTACTTTAGAAATGCGGGTGATAGTTCAAATCTTGTTGGGCTTAATTCCCTCGGTTGCTCGTTTTGTGCTTGAATGCCGTACAAAACCTCGTTATTAACCATTATTGGAATGGATGACTTATTTAAAAGATTCCCTGTGAAGTAAGGCGGCATGTGTTTGGGAGTTGGGAACCTCACCGACTGTCTAGATGGATTTTCCCCGTGGATGTGCCCGGTTTTTTTCCTGAATCTGCTTTCCTTTCTAAGATTGGAAGCACGGGTGTTGTTCCACCATACAAATTGTGACCAAATCGGTCCAATTCTTTATCATATTAGAGTTTTCTTTGATGAAATGCTTTCTCAGTCATTTATTTTTATGATAGTCCAACGGCGAGACCTTTGTGAAATCGGATTTCCCTACTTGTGGGGTTAATTTGTGGTAGGTTCAGTTCAATTTAAATTTACATTTTGAGGCATCTTTTTTCTATTCAATAGAGATTGGCAGTAGGTTTTTTCTGTACCCTCTGTCATCTTTTAAGTATACAAGAGGCTTTATATATGTCGATATTTCAGCCCTATAGAGATTAATAAATTTAAATTCTTCTGCCCTGCAATTTGGTTAGAGGAGCTTCTGGAGAGGTCTTGACGCCCACAATTACACATTTCGATTTTTTACTTTTTTTTTTCTTTTTGAATGGGACCCTTTTGGATTTTGAGGTCAGAGAAGGCTCAACTAGCCTATCTTTCTAAATGCTTATGATGTATCAATAGCTTTACTCACGTACTTACTGTTTTTTTAGTTATAAAACTAATCCTATGACATGCAGATCATTTGAATTATCTGCTCAAGAATCAGATTTGAAGCTGTTGACCAAGGAGCTTCCTCCTCTTAGAGGGATTGGTCCTCAAAAATGCATGGCCTTTAGTGTTGATGGATCTAGATTAGCCACTGGTGGAGTGGTGAGCATTTGATAATCTGATCGATGATACTGATGTATATAGATAGTGGAATATCATATTTACCCATTAGGGCTTGATATCTTTTCCTTGTCTTTATCATCTGCAGGATGGTCGTCTAAGAATCCTGGAATGGCCTAGTCTGCGCATTATTCTAGATGAACCAAAAGCGCACAAAAGCATTAGAGACCTGGATTTTAGGTAGAACCTGTCTCATTTACTTGAATAGTCATGTTTTTAAGGTGGACACTTTGGTTTGTTTTGCAACGTTTATATAGAATGCGAAAAGTTAATTCATGCCGGTATGCCTAAAGGAAATTGGAAGTTTGAGGCAGTTGGATCAGTTGCCTACTTGCCATGATATGAATCCTTGTCTTTTTTTGTTGCGTGACAGTCTAGATTCAGAGTTTTTGGCTTCAACATCTACTGATGGATCGGCTAGAATATGGAAGGCAGAAGATGGTTTGCCTTGCACTACTTTGACTCGCAGATCTGTATGATTTATTAATTTGAAGGTCTTTGTTTTTAATTTGCACTGTTGGTCCTTTGTTAATTCTGTCAAATGTTTTTGCACAGGACGAGAAGATTGAACTGTGTCGGTTCTCTAAGGATGGCACTAAACCCTTTCTATTCTGTACTGTACAAAAAGGTACATTAGTTTGTTTCTCTTAGACAAAATATCCTGTTGTTCCCAGAGTTGGTCCTCAGATGCCATTTAGCACTTAGAGGCTTAGTTGTTGTTATACCATGAGCAAGTGGTGTCAAAGCATTTCTGGGAAGGGTGGTCATGCTGATGTTACATCCCTTTTTTTCCTCCTCTAGTTTGTAATGGCAGGTCACTGTTCATTTCTTTTGTCTGTACTTCTAAATATTAGGTTTCATGTTCATTGAGCAGGTGATAAAGCTGTTACTGCTGTCTGGGACATAAGCACATGGAACAAGATTGGGCACAAACGACTCCTCAGAAAGCCTGCTGTTGTAATGTCCATCAGTTTGGATGGGAAATATCTTGCTCAGTAAGGAATTTGAATCTTGCTTTGCCTGGCTGCATTGATAGACATGTGTGGCGCCTTGTTTTTTTGTTTTCTATTTTTACCCCTTTTTGTGGTTTGAGGGGAGATGAGAAGCAAAGAGTGTAGACTTTTGACCATATGCTCACCAAGCACTCGCAAATACTTGGTTTTCTGTGTAGTTAATGTGTAAGACCGAGACAGATGGTTAATGTGCTTCTCCTGATGAATACTGACTACTTGATCACACCATTTACAGGAGATGTAAAGTGTTAGCTGAACACAGAATTCTTATTGTTACCAAATATTCAAGGCAGTGTCAATTGGATTATACCTTACAGGACCCTGACTTAAACATCCAAGAATTCTTGATGCACCTTCATAAGCCATAAATTGAAAGTCACTTGGATATTTCTTGAATGAAATACAGTGTGCCTAGTTAAATGTTGTTGTATTACACTTACAACTATCTAGTTTTTACCTTCTACTTTTGTTCACCATTATCAGATACTTTGAATGTAATTAATTGCCACTTGGATGTTTACGTTTTGTTTCCATCAACACTTGAATTATGGATGAATATTCAACTGTGCAGCATGTGGTGTCTTGAGAAAGTGGATGGTACTTGATCAGAAACATCTTTAAGAGGGATAGTTAGTTTTGAAAGCTTTGGTAAAGTTTAGTGGCGATCATGGCAAATTATGGAATCCCAGTATATTGTGATGAGGGGTAAACCTGTAATCTTCTTTATAAAAAGCGAAATTAGTGAAATTTCTTCCTGAATTTATAGGGGAAGCAAAGATGGTGATATGTGTGTTGTTGAAGTGAAGAAAATGGAGGTTAGCCATTGGAGCAAGAGGCTGCATCTGGGAACCTCCCTTACATCACTAGAATTCTGTCCTAGTGAAAGGTAAGCTTCTTAAAGCCTCTTAAGATGTAGGAGTGAATGCTTACCATTTTTATTTTATTTTTCTCCATTAATTCTCTTAATACTTGAGATGAGAGGGTGTTTCACTCAGAGTAAAAAGAACAGATGCTTTGGGTTAGAACTCAACGCAATTTGGTGGATTGGGTAATTGAGCATTATATGTTACTGATGCTTGGTAGATCAGCAGCTGCATCTTTATATGTATTATTGTTTAGAATTAGGAACAAGCTTCATATTTGCTTGCAGATTTTCAGTGGTACGCCACTCAGTATATTGTTGAGTGTTGTACATTGCAATATCTTTTAAAACAGATTTCAGTTGTACTAGTGCGATATGAAGTTCAGAACGATACATGTCCATGTCCTTTTGTTTTATATCTGCAACGTTGACATAGTGTTTGGCTGCACCACAACACAGCTAAGTATATATATTCAGTATTAATTCATTTGGTTGGTGGGATGAACTTTTTCAGGGTTGTGCTTACTACTTCTGACGAGTGGGGTGTGTTAGTGACCAAGCTAAGTGTTCCTGCTGATTGGAAAGGTCTCTCTCTCTCTCTCTCTCTCTCTCTCCCCGTGAGACACACAACACCAACACAGCACGGGGGCATTTTTGGGCTTGTGTTTATCAACTGCACACATAATTTACGCACAACTCGTTGAGGTATAGATGCATGCAAAGCACAGGCAAGTGGAATCTTAAAGCTAACCAGTCTCTCCTTTTTGTTTCCTTCCATGTGCAGCATGGCAAGTGTATCTACTACTTTTGGGTATGTTTTTGGCATCTCTTGCCGCGTTCTACATCTTCTACGAAAACTCCGACTCGTTCTGGAACTTCCCTCTCGGGAAGGATCAACCTGCAAGACCTAAGTTCGACACTGTTGTGGGAGATCCCAAGTCTGCTGATGATCAAAATATGTGGGGTGACTTTGGGCCACTAGATATGTGAGCAACCGCCGGTTGTGTCGTGCTGCAAGCCTCCAGAAGCAGCAGCAGCAGCCAGTGGTCTGAACAATTCCATTTGATTATTGTGACACTCAGGCAGTTTGTTTATAGGTGTTTTTGGAACAAAATGTCCGTCTGGGCGTGAACAAGCGGCATGGGACTGACATCATTGCTTTCGTTGTAAAAGCCTCGTCGATTTCGAACTAATTGAACTATTTGAAAGCGACGAATTTTGATTTTGTCCTTTGCAAAGTAATGAACGGCGCCATACTTTCTCTTTTCCCGACTGCATTTTGGAGATCGGTACCCTCGGGGGGCTGTAACCATCAGTTGCCTGATACCAAATCCAAACACTTTTACCAGGAGAAGGTCCGAAAAACAGGATGCCTACTATAGGCAATGTATCGGTGTTGCCGCATGATTTTCCTCCATCATGTGAATAGACGCGTACGGAGTACCATGCCGACGGCGACCCGGGCATTCAACGACATGGATCATCTCTCTTCTCTTTGTTGCTGCTGATGTATCACTTGCATTTTATTGTTCAGCGGGGGCACACGAAACCTTCTGAATGATTGATCGAATATCTCCCTCCCTCCCTCTTAAGTATCTGCAATGGCCATTGGAAAACAACCAAGAGAGCGAAAATTAATATAATAATAACAAAAAAAAATCCAGTGAAAATCCCGGCGGACACGTGTCCCGCTCACTCACGTTGAATATCTACAAATCCAATAGCAAAATAACAAAACACGTTACGAAATCTAAAAAGAATGAAAATGGAATTAATAATGGAGGAGATCGGGATCGGCGCTGCTGGGGGTAATATGTGGAAAGGCGCAACCCTTTTCGTGCCCCCTTCCTTTCCTGCTGTCAAGAGCCTGTCGCCGAGGGAGAAAATTACCAGTTCCAGAGTCCCACTCTCTTTCTCTCTCTCTCGAAAGCTGATGCGATGAACTGCCTCCAGAATCTCCCGAGGTCGTCTCTCTCTCGCTCGCTCTCTCGCTTTCGATTCTCGCGATAGTTTCGCCGATCATCTGGCTTCGGCTTCTCTCGGGGAAGCTTTCTCACCGCCTGAATGAACGAAACTCTGCAGATGCTCGTCCTCGCCGCCGCCCGGATTCGAATGCCGCCGCCGCCGTCAAGTCAAGCCGCCGTGCTTTCTCAGGATCGCCGTACGTTACGCCTTCGCTCGTTTTCCCTTTTCTTCTTGAAAAGCTCTGGAAGCTCCGTCGTCGAGTTTGGTTCGGCTCAATACTCTGTTTCCGAATCTCGGCTAGTTAGGATGAAAGAGCGGATTGAATCGATATGCAGGGAGCGGTGGATAATGCCGATCGTCGGAAGGGCCTGGCTTTGAAGGTGAGCGAGGAGGAATATCCGATAGGTTTTTGAGTAGCTTTTGAGAGCTTGAGGTGGTTTTGCTTTTGATTTGCGTTCTGTTCCGTGCGGCGGTGGTTGCGTAGCTGCTTTTTTTTCTTTCTCGGTGATGTGATTTGCTTTGGCACAGGCGGTGTCGGGATCCACATCCAGCGCGGAAATGAGCGGCTCTGAAATGCAGGAGGAGGAGGAGGAGAAATCGGAGGAATACAGCACCACCATGACGGAAGCAATGGGTGCTGGTAAGCATGATTCAGTAGCCTGCTTTTTTTTACTTTAATCCTCAAACCCGAGTGTAACAGGCTTTTGTCATGCGAAACCGTGTGTCCCCGTAATTGGAAACTGTTATCACTGTTTCTTTTTTAAATAGACGGGTCATTAGGAATTACGCACCGGTCAAGTCACTTTAACGCCTATGGGGTTGCTCTATCAATCCTTATGCCTCATTCTTCATTGCCTCATCTATTTATCTGGCAACAGTGGATTAGAACTGCCTGCATCGAGCCTGTATGACTTCTGGGACTTCATTGTTATTTCTGCTAGTGGACTTCACTTTCAGATGGGCTAGTTTAGCGGTTTCCTTTAAAAAATATCTCCTTTTTAGTTAATGGTACTCTGCATTTATTTGTCAAGCATCTACACTCGTGACTAATGATTTCTTTCTACCACAGTTTTGACTTATAGGCATGAACTAGGAATGAACTACAACTTCATCCGACCGGACTTGATTGTGGGTTCGTGCCTACAGGTAATTCTGATGTCCATCATGAGTACCGCCTAAGTTACACTCGCTCTGATTTAGACTGCTTTCTTCCACTTAGTGTACTAATATTTGAAGCTATTCCAGACTCCAAAAGATGTTGACAAGCTTCGTGCTATCGGAGTGAAGACCATTTTCTGCTTACAGCAAGACCCGGATTTGGAGTATCCTCAGAAACTTTGTCTATGGAGTTTTGTCTTGAATTGATCATCTAAATGGTAATGGTGTGACGACAACGATGTATTATTTAGGAATAAGCACATTTTGTTCCCTCACTACTATCTCCAGATACTTTGGGGTTGATATTAAAGCAATCCGAGACTATGCTGGAACGCATGATGGCATTCAACACTTGCGGGCTCAGATAAGGTTTGTCTAGAAAGATTGCTGCTTATGATATGTTAAAGCAGTTCTCCAAGAAGCGTGAGATTCAGTTGGCTTGCCGGAGCCTCTGGCTACAAAATGGCAATTAGACTTGTTCTTCAATCCATGGACTGCTCACTTTGGGCTCTAAGTCCATCTCATGTAACTACATCTTTTTTTTTTCTTTTTTGAAAGGTGAAAGGCAAAAGAATAGTTCACGTTGTGCTCTCAGCGCCTTGCGTTAGTTACACATTCTCAAAATTTGATTTGAGTACATCTGTGGAGACAATTTCATTATCATAATGGTTATGGTTTTATACCATTTGAGAAATGACTGTAAAATTGCTTTGGGAAAGACCTTTTTCTCTGCTAGTTATACTTTATATGCATCATGTGAATAATATACAACTGGTGTCTTATGTAGCAGTTCAATTTGATTGTAGCAGAGATTTTGATGCATTTGATTTGCGGATGCGGCTCCCAGCAGTAGTCAGCAAACTTTACAAGGCCATAAACCGGAATGGGGGTGTCACATATATACATTGTACAGCCGGACTCGGAAGGGCTCCTGCTGTGGCGGTATGCCTGATGTCCAGTTTCTTTCTTGAACAAATTTGTCCACTGGTCGTTTTGTCTGTTTTTCTGTCATGTCTTTCTCTCATTGACCACTCTCTCGTTGGTCAGATCTTGATTGAATCTCATGGATTGACTAACTGCACATTGTCCCATCCTTCTTACTGATTATCACTTGTTTGGATTTTCCTTGCCAGCAAAGAGAACATGATAATTTCAACAGTTCATCTATTTCGATATGTTCAACTAATATTCCCCTTGCTTTAATCATGTACTTCAGTTAGCATACATGTTCTGGGTTCAGGGATATAAACTCGGTGGAGCTCACAGATTATTACAGGTAATAATTCCTTGGGAGTTCTTCAGCTAGCAGTGTAGATTTGCTCCTTGTGTGACACACTTATGACTTAAAATTTCGTACTTTGTATGCTCGTTGTACTTCATATTGTCTAGCTCTTTTCCTGCTACAGGGAAAGTTAAAATTGCTTTTAGAACTATGACAGGATACCAGCAAACCTTGATTTGCTGGTATCTCACTCGATCAATAAAATTCCGGTGGAAGACTGTGAGATTGCTTTGTGCATTGTGATATACAAGAATTCTTTTTGCACTAGATACAAGCTTTGCTAGATGTCTCTAAAATTTATCTAACGATGACAAGAAGAAAGCTTCTGCCGCTAGGTTACTTTTGTGTCCGACTCTTCTTGTACTTTTTCATGTAAAATATATTTTAGGTCCCATCTTTTGGACATCTTGCCCATACTTTATTCTATGATGTAACAGTTGGCTTTGAACTTGCTGTACACCATTACGTTGATGAGGTACCAAGCAGTTGATCTTCTGAGCAAGGAAGTTTTGAAACTTAGATATTTTGGGACTTCGATGGCAGCATAATGAGCATATTTTGCTTTATACTTTCTTGTGTTTGATCTGTCACTCAGTCGAAAGGAGAGTGTAATATGGTATGGACAATCATGTATTTTTTCTCAAATTCCCACTTAATCATCGAGTTATTTTTATCTTGCAGAGCAAACGGTCATGCTTTCCCAAGCTGTATGCCATAAAAAGTGCTACTGCTGATACTGTGAGTTTTATTTTCTCTGTTTATTCTAAAGTGTTTAAGCATTCACATTCTTCTGTCCTATTTGTTGATGGTGCATGTTGAGATTTTCATAGGGGTTAAACTCAGTTTCGAGAAGTAAACCAAACTAGACTAAATTTACTTTGTTGTTCTCTAGAACCAAATGGCACCATTTTTCATTGGAACTAAAGATGATGTCTCATGCTTTGTCAATTCATGCTAGTATTAAAGTTCTTGCTTTTGTCTTGGTACTGCCACATCTTCTCTTTTCAGGTAATAATTGCAGATAATTTTTAGTCCAAATGTTTAAAGTGTGTTGTTTCAGCCACTGGAACTTAGTGCTGACATTACCAGTTGCCTTTCTACGTATGGGTTTTAAAAAGAAATTGACACAGATGGCTCTTGGAATAAATAAGCGGATCTCCGTCATAGCCTACAAATTGTTAACATTCAATCAAATTCAGACAATTGAAATCTTCCATTGCTGTTAATCATGCAGATATTCACTTTCTTTGCAAAAGGAGAATCTCCATGACGAGATCATTTTCACGCAATTCATGTTGATGGACTGTTGTTACTCATCACAAATTCAATTCACTTCCTGTTTTCTTGATTAAAGCTTACAGGATTTAAAAAGAAGCCAATCAGCCTGACGTGGCAAGATGGCAACTCTTCCTCTGTGGAAGTTTCTGGACTTGATATCGGATGGGGCCAGGTACCGATATTTTCATCTAGTGAAAAATTTTGCAGTTCAAGAATTTTGCCAACGCTTCAATTGCACACATTAATGTAGCTTTGGAATTATCATTGTGAAACCACTGGTTATTAACACCCCTACAGTATTATTCTGGCTCATGTACTTGATACTTGTGGGGTATCCCAGAATCTTGAATTTTGTAGTATTTATATACGTTATCCCGTATTCCGTGTCCTTTTATCGATTGAAAATGCTTATATGGTTGTGCTTGATATTCGCGTATTCCTAGATAATTAACATTTTCCTACCCACTGGGCACGTTGCTCAGTGGTAAGGGAATTGGGTGGGGTGGGGACATTTAGTTTCAAGGTGTGGGGTTAAACTCGCACGCTCTGCAAAGAGGCAAAATGAAAGTCTGAAAGAGAGAGAGGAGAATTAGAGTCGTACTCACAAAAAAAAAAACATTTGCCTTCTAAGTAGATCAATCCTGGTTTTTTTTTATGCATTCTCAGAGACTTCCTTTGCAATTTGACGAGGAACAAGGACTGTGGAAACTCACGAGAGAACTGCCAGTAAGTTCAATCAGACAATTTTCCGGGCTCGTAGTAGTCCTGCATTTTGAGTTCACTGTATTATTCCTGTTACTCAGTTGCTTTATGTTTCGTATAACTTTAGCACACCAATCAACTCCACTTTAGAAATGCTAATCAATTTTCTGTCGACTCTGAAAGACCAAGGTTTTTCATTTCGTGATGGAAAAGATCTGTTGAGTTGCACATTGAATAATGGCATTAACATTGACTCTTCCGAATAACAGGAAGGAGACTACGAGTACAAGTACATTGTAGATGGTGGATGGACGTGCAACGAACATGAGCTTGTTACTTCTCCAAACAAGGATGGCCACGTCAACAACTATATCAAAGTAAGGTTCAGTCAGTAGCTGAAATGTATTATCGTCTCTAGCTGCTCATTCCTATCTAACGATTCAATCTTTTTGGTAGCATGAGCAGTTCAGTACTACTAATTTTACTTCTTCCTCAGTCCGTTGGAAATTTTGAGATTATGCAGAGGATTTTGAGCAATTTGGAAAATTTTCTTTTGCTTCTCGCGTCTTTGATTTTTCAAATGTTACTGCCTTCATCTATGGGACACTTGCTGTTGGAGCTTCGAGACATTAACGATTAATCGATTTTTGTTAATTCTTTCATGCAGGTTCTTGGTGATGATCATAGTAGTGTCGGTGCAGCACTGCGAAGTAGGCTGGCTGCCGATGATCCTGATCTTACAAAAGATGAACGTCTGCAAATCCGACAATTTCTTGAAGCTTACCCAGATGAAGAGTAAAAAGTTGCCAGCAAGTTAACTCCACAGCCCCCGACCCTTAATAAAGGAAGAAATAAGAGTTCTCCGCTGGGAAGAAGCAAGTTCATTACTTCTTCCAGAAGCTATTAGAGGAAAATAATTCATCTTTTGCAGGGAACGTCCTATATATCATATAGATAAAGTTAGTCTATCAAATAAGTGAAAAAATAAGAGACTTTCAGTGTACGTGAGAGAGTTCTTTGAGCCTTAGCCGGTGAAATAAGGTCATGCTTACAACCTGTGTACAATTAGACGAGCTTATGAACTTAGTTGAGCACATTTATGAATACAAACAGTCACATGCGCGCGTTTTACATCTTTTGCTGTACGGAAAATTGGACGTGTGGGTCATCCCGTTTCCTCCATGTGCCCATTCCAGTTACTGTCCTCCGTGGGTTTCGTAAAGGCCGCCCTTGCCTGATTGAAAAAAGATTCGGTTCGATTGGAACTCGACAGCAATGAGTTTTCAAGTTGAATCGGAACCTTCATTGTGCTACCCCTGTTTTTTTTCAGACATAGAATGGGCCATTCACTAAACTTCACCTTTTGGCGTATCTTGCCCATGAAGTCCCATGAGCTACTCTGTTCCTACTTTCATGGCATAGATGGGCATGCAACTACTTCCACATAACAAATTGAAGACTGAATATTTGATCTAAATGCAATGGAAGTCAATTGGATGCAAGGTACGAATGTATTCCAACATTGATATATTCTCTTCTCTCTTCAGCTGCTTATCAAATATAGAGACTACAACAATTCGTACTTGTATTTTCTAAGCTTCTGTCGTGCCTAACCAGGCACAATGCCTCCTCTTAACCGCTTTTAATTTTATCAGAAGAACCATAAATTTCGTCTCTTCAGAGACATCCGAGAAAATTGGAGCAATGCTGAGAACGGCCATGTATGTTCTCTTTCCTCCTCTCTCCTTCTCCTTGCATCTCATCTTGTCTACTCCCGCTAAAGTTGCCCCGTCATCGATGCACGTCACACTTATCAGATACAGCTTTGGTCCTTGGAGACGTTTTGCAAGTCTTACAGTTTGCTGCTATCTCATCCTGCGAAACCGGCATTAGAGTTCCCCAGCTAATCCACCTGCAGTCTCCGGTTAGCTTAGCATGCACAATTCACCAGTTTCCCGAGTAATCTTCAGCTCAAATGAACGGACCAACCGGATTGTTATTTGGCATACTACTTTGAATGTTCCACTGTCTATAAAACGGCTTTTCCCTTCTGCTTCTTCTGCTCAGCAACATACTCCCTTACGCGTTGAGCTTTCGTCCTCATCTCCGCAATCAGCTTCTCTGTCTCATCAGTTATCTGCTTCGGCAAATAAACCTCCATATAATCAAACCATTCCCTGAGACTCATCTTTGAGAAATCTGGGAACTGGCCGCTCTTCCCCGTAGTCTCCTTCAAACCAAAGCCGATCCCACTTCTTACCTCGTTACCAGCCCCAGCCTCAAGACCACCGTCATCTTCAATCTCCACCTTTATACTCCTTACACCTCGACCGTCCTCACCAGAAACTTGATCTGCCGGGGCCGACATCCTACTCTCCCCCAAAACTTCGCCCTTATCCACCTCTTCAATGTCCCTACTCCGACCCACAAACACTTCCCTTTCATCATTTCCATGGACCAACTCTGTATTGAGCAGACCTATATCATCTTCATTTCCCACGACATCATCTTGTGCCTCTTCCGCGGGATCCAACCTCTCTGAATCACCAATTTGATTCCTTCCCTTTGCTTGCCTCGTCCTTCTCGGTCTCGCCTTCCTCTCTTTACCTTCATCCTTTTCCGTTTCTCTGCATTCCAACCCCACATCCTCCAGACCCTTCTCAGCTACGGCACCAGCAGCCACAATCTCCACTTCCTTCTTTCTCCTCCTAGTCCTCCTCGGACTCACTCGCGAGATCCCCGAATTCCCCCTCGCCGTAGCCGCATCTCGCAACTCCACAATACACGCCTCGCTCTCAAACCCTCGCACTGCACTTGCCTCCACCAATTCACTCTTCACAGGCGGAGCTGCCGCACCACCCCCAGCTTCTGGCAATCGAGTCTTCCCACCCCTCCCCTTCGGAACCCTAACACTACCCGCCCGGCCCTCCACGGCCGCTCCGGCCGCCTTCTTCTCCGAATTCCTCTCGTTGGCTCTCCGCCTAGGGTTCCTACGCAACCTCGACTCGGCGGCCCCGCCGCAGCCCTCTATCCTCACGAGAAAGGCAGTGTACTCACCGATTTTGATCGAGTCGCCGTCGCGGAGCGCGCGGGGCTCGTGGGGAGCGAGCCTGGCGGACTCGTTCACGACGGTGCCGTTGGAGGACCCGAGGTCGGTGAGGAACCAGCCGCCGCCGCCGCCGCCGCCGCCGCCGGGGGGTGGCCGGGACTCGATGGAGAGGTGCTTGGAGGAGATGCCGGCGTCCTTGACGGGGAGGTTGTTGCCGCGGACGACGCGGCCGATCCGGACCGTAGATCCCGGGGGGTATTCTAGGGTTTCTCCCTCGCGAGGGCCTTTGGTGATGTGGAGCTTCAGAGAGAGCGACGCCTCCTCCATTGCTGCTGCTGCTGCTTGCTGCTGCTCACCAGAGAAGAGAGAGAGAGAGAGAGGGAAGATGGGAGATTTGAATTTTGGGGCTCTTTGAAATGCTTGCGAGATGGCAGAACAGTACAGAGGCTGCTGATGACACCCCCCTCCAAAAAAAAAAAGTTTTAATTTTGAACAATTCACAAGTAATTTTTTTTTTTAATCGAACTGACAAATCCGGTGGAAGCAATTGGAGCCGAAAAGAATCGAAGAGACCCGGTGAGGCAACGCCGAGGTCGCGCAACCACAGGCTGCCCGAGGCGATGCGACGCCGAGGATCACGGGACCCAGATCATGCGAACCGAGATCTCGGCGACCGTCCTCTGTCGATCGTTGGTGAGTGCGTTTCGGTCGAGAGATGTCAAATGGTAGAAATGAGGGTAAGATAGAAACGCGAAAATATTAGTAAGGGTAGATTCGGAAGAAAAAATTCATCGACCACTAAATAGCATTCCGAGAATGCGGAAATTAGGTAAGAACCACATTGAGCTAAGGCACTTTGGAGATGCTAACTTTAGGTCAAAGGTTTTTCGGGAACGATGAACTAAACACATCGACTTTGACAAAAATCGCAAATCGCAACCAGACTTTGATATAGCGTGCCAAAAATATTAAACACTATTGTTCAGGAACTGATAATTAGGCAACCCTATATAATGCTGTATTCTTGCAATAAACCGAATCATTCTTTTGACTCGTTAAGTCCCTTCTAATTGGATCGATTGGGAGGCCGGCTGCAACTCGAAGTATAAAATGGCCCAATCAAATGGTAAGAGATCTATAAACGAAGGTGCACATAATCATGATTACAATTTTTATAAATTCCATTAAGATTAAGTTAGTGGCTAACAAGCGGACATATGCGAGTGAACTAGACACGCGACACGACTTTCGTTTTTCAATCATCGGGGGGGTGTAAATAAGTCCGGACCACCCCGCTCGTATTTCGGCTCCCGTTTAGGTTAATGCTCGAAGACGTGTGGGGTATTCTGTGTGTTGAAATTTGTATATTTAGAGTATCTAACTCTTAATCATGATGTACTTTTGATATGGTATGAAGTTGTAATCGGGGAAAAAAGGTTCATCACATCATTGGACTTCCCCGAGCATTTAACTGCGAGGAGGGGTCTCATTGTCGATTCATATAAGTGGAGGACACAAAAAAGAAAAAGAATAGGCGTGAGGCAATCAAAATAACCTATTTTAGGCTCCGTTTTTTTCGCGAAAAATATAACATTTTTAGAAGATATTTTTTGGGAAGCATTTTTCAAAAAATGACAATATTTTCCGGTATTCGGTTGAGATAGGAAAATGAACTGGAAAATATTTTCTGTCGTTCGGCATGGAAAATCCTTGTCGCACTCCTTTTAATAATTATTTTATTTTATTTTTTTAAAAAAAAATTATTTTTGATTATTGAATTTTTTAATAAATTTAATATTTCTTTTCCTTTCTTTTTTCCTCTTTTTCTTATTTTTTTTCTTCCTTTGCCAGTCGCCGACCACAGGCGAGGCAAGGCTAGGCTTGGGCGCCGGCCTTGGGTGAGCGAGGCTGAGCCTCGCCTGTGGCCGATTGCTAACCGTCACCATGGCTGGTGACCGGATGAGGAAGAAGAAAACGAAAAGAATAAAAAATAAGTAAAAATTAGTTTTAAAAAAAAGAAAAAAATATAAATAAAAGTAAAATGTGTTTGGTGAAAGAAAGTGAGGTGAAAAAAATATGGAAAATGTTTTTATACATCGGTGAAAAATGTTTTCCTTAACTAGTTTTATTTTCTGTAAACCGAACGTAGAAAAACCTAGAAAATGCTTTCTTGGAAATTGTTTATTTGTGAAATGAACGGAGCCTTATTTTTCCATTGAAATAATGATTGCTTTAATTTTAAAGGACATTATGCCAAAAACTCATCCTTATTTTTGAATGGGATAATGACACAAATAATCCATGAACTTTAGCCCAATGTGTAATTTGATCCATGAACTTTTAATTTGTTTAATGTAGTCCCTGAACTTTAGCCTAATATTCTTTGAACTTTTAATTTATACAATGTGATCCTTGAACTTTTGTTACATGTTCAATGTAGTCCTTGAACTATATGAAAATGTTCAATATAGTCCATAAACTTTAATTAATGTAAAAACTACATTAAACATTTTTATATAATTCAGGAACTAAATTAAACATGTACCAAAAGTTCATGGGTCCCCTTGAATTATGTTGCCAATGATGAGGGGCATTTTCGCTGTAGGAAATTCAAAAGTTCAGGGACCACATTGCACATTGGATTAAAGTTCAGAGACTACATTGAACAAATTAAAAGTTCAGAGACCAAATTAGACATTGGGTCAAAGTTCAGGGACTATTTTGTGTCATTTTCCCTTTCTGAATTTAATTATCCATAGTATATTGAAATATGAGTTCAAAATCTAACTTTTAAAAATAAAAATAAGAATAAAAATTTGAATAAGTAACCAAAAGCCTCAAAACTTATCCCGAAAGTGCAATTGAGTTCTAAAACTTTCAAAAAATACTATCACGTTTTAAAACTTGTCATATTGATGCAATCAAGTTCTTTCGTTAATTGCATCCTATTTCGACAATAGAAAAATCTATTGTGTCTTTTGTTTAGTTGTTGCATGTGGCATTTTACTTTTTTTTTTTTTGAAGAGAAAGGCATTGATGTGGCATCTTCCTCTTCCCTATCCGATCTCTTTCTTTCTTTCTTTGAGCTCAAACAGCCATGGTGACCGCGAGCTTCAAACTCAAATTGCCATAACAAGCAAAGCTTTGACCTCGATCTCGAGCAGCCATGGCCATTGGGCGCTCGAGCCTGAAATCGGCGGCCGTGGCCAAATTTGGTTCGAAGATGAACATCTTTCTTGGCTTTCTTTTTCTCCTTTTGAGGTGCTAAAAGAATTCATATATTTGCTAAAAGATCGAGGTCGACGCTTGTTATTACAGCCAATTGAGCTCGAAGCTCGCGTCGACCACAATCGTGTGAGCTCAAAGAAAGAAGGCATTGGATTAAGGAAGAAAAAGTTGCCACGTCAGCACCTCTCACTTTAAAAAGTAATAAAAAAGGCCACGTCAGCATTACCCATATTAAAAAAGTAAAATCAAAATTCTCTGTTAGCTAAATTAAATGGAGTGAATGGAGGGATTTTTTTTTTCTATCGAAAGAAAGTCGTATTCATTATTCAAAAAAATACATGAAAAATATATAAACTTCATGACAAAAATGAACCGACACAGAGCAAAACCCAGAATAATGCAAAACAAAGCAAAATCTCAAAAACATGGAGGATTAATATAGCATTATCAAGGTTAATTAAGCACACATTTGTTTCACAAGAACATATTCGTCAAGCAAAATAATTAGCGACTGATCACTAGACTTGTATGTTCGTTGGTGACAAGAACACATCGGAAATTCCTTTTCCATTAACTATGGCGATGCCAATTGGCGGTGCACACCTAAGTTTGGTTTATTCTACACCATCGCCATTTGGATACAACCAAAATAGGTTGAATAAATACAGATCTAACATGCAAAAGAGCAAATCATCGTGATTCAGCCAAAAGGCCAAAACTCCTGTAATTACCATTCCAGCTGGAGGCGAAGAACGACAATACCCAAAAGCATATTTATTAAAATCACCCAATTGCATTTTCGCCAAAGTTTTTAGTATTTTTTTTTGCTCTTGATCTCACAAAAATTCGCAATTAAACAAAAATCACTCAATTGCAAAAGTGCAAGTCGGCTGGAAAAAAAAGAAGAAAAAGAAAAAAAACCGAACATATCTCAGCTCTCTTCTTCACTCCCTTCACGTCGTCGAGTCGGAGCCGAGTCGAGTCGCCCGATCCGAACCGACCTCCATCGAACCTCCCTTCCTCCTCCAATGGCGACGCCACCGTCTCTCCGATCTCGTCCCCGGTGAAAATCCCCCGCCGTTTCCTCCTCGCTTCTCCCCCCGGGAGAGAAAAGTTCATCCTCTCTCATGAACGGCGCCGTCCCGTGATCTCCGGCCACGATGGACGACGCCGCCGCCGCCACCGCCGCGCTCCGTTCGATCCGCGACCGATTCCCCTTCAAGCGGAACTCGAACCCTAGCCTAGGCCCCAATCACTCCTCCCGGGATCGCGCCAAGAGCTTGCCCCCCGATCGCCAGCTCCTCCGGGCCGGCCGAGCCCATCACGGCGGCAGGTTCAGCCGCAAGGGCCTCTCCTCCTGGCTCCTCCCCTTCAGGGGCAAGTCGCTGCTCTACTCGGCGATACTGCTCGCGGTCCTCGTCTTCGCGATGGCGTCGGTGGTGCTGCAGAGCTCGATCACGTCCGTGTTCAAGCAAGGGAGCGACAGGGGGAGGTCGCCGAGGGATGGGCTCAGGTTCGGCAGCACGCTGAAGTTCGTGCCGTCGCGGCAGTTTGCGGAGGGAGGGGGATTGGATCGGGCGCGGTCGGAGAGGAGGATCGGCGTTCGGCCGCCGAGGCTTGCTCTTGTGAGAGTGCTTACCCATTTTTTCCGCAATATCATTTGCTTTTAAAGTTGAACCGACTTGTGCCGGTTTGGGAAAGTTTTGCTTTTGATCTGATCTCGGTTCCTTTCCATCCGTCCTTTTTCCTTAAATCAATATGTTTCTTAATATTATTACTGCAATGTAATTTAAATTGGCGCTTATTGGAAGTGTATTAAATCTGGTGGTTCGAGTAATAACGTTTGCGGTGTTGTTGCCTGCATTGGCGTGACTAAGCTATGAATTCTTCAGACTCATGCCTTGTGCCTTCAGAAAATATATAGTACAAATTAAGACAAAGTGATGGTCAATCTAAAAGAACGAATGACCAGCTATATCCTTCTCGATGGTTGTGCCACGGATGTGATGATGGTGATCAGATGAATTGGTGATTATATTTCTGCTAGTTCTCAATATTTTTAGGGACAGTGGAATCTTTCTGTGCCATCATCTGCACCAGTACATTTGTGTATGCATGTGTTTTTTTAGCAGACTCATCATACTTATTGGGTGCTTTGTGAATTGCAGGTTTTGGGGAATTTGAGGAAGGATCCACAGTTTTTGATGCTTTTTTCTGTCGTGAACAATCTAAAAAAACTAGGTTACACTTTTCAGGTAAACTTATATTTGGTTCTTATTACGTTTTAATATTTGTAGAAGCAAATGTTGCTTTGATTTTCTGGCTCTGCACGTGATGTCACCCAGAATTGCCAGCCAGTAAACATAAATTTGGCTACACTGTAGAAATGACAGAATGATGGTCATGGCATGTTCCTTTTCTGAGTTTTCACTTTTCAATTATTTAACTCTCCAATGATGCACCTCCCTGATAACTTTTCTGCAGATACATGCAGTAGAGAATGGTGAAGCACTTCCTGTCTGGAAGGATGTAGCCAGTCAGATTTCAGTTCTGGGTCCCGAGCAATATGGCCATATTGATTGGTCAATGTAGGATGTTATATTTGGCTTTCGTTGGAATTAGTTGAATGATGGTCTTCTACAGCTTTTCTTACTAATTATTAATTGTTAAACTCCTGCTTACTCTTCACAGCTATGAAGGTATTATTGTTGATTCTATAGAAGCACAAGAGGCTGTTTCGAGGTTTGTTTCTCTTCTTCCCTCGTTCAAAGTTGTGCTTGCTTTCTGTGCATGCTTTTGTTTGTTTGTACGGTGTTACATGCTTAACTTTCACACTCAGTGCATTACCTGGGAAATCAGATTTCAGGATCTTTTTGGGCATGGATATGATGCTCATCTGCTTTTTGTTGAAGTAAAGATATTAGTGGCGTTACTGTTTAATGATCGCTTCTGAATGAAAGATCTTATGCATGCCAATTTCCTATTAGATATCAATAATATTGATGATGACTAAGTGTTATGTTGACAACTTTCCTGGGCTATCTTCATGAATCATTGTGATTAAAGTAGTCAAGGAATCTGACAGAGGTCTAGTTATAATGAATCAAGTTTATCTTGTTAAGTTCTCTTTCCTCATCAACTCTGAAGGTACATGGCTAATCTAGACTTAAAGTTGCAGCGATCCTGGTAATTTTCAACAATGTCCAATTTATTAAAAAGAGCTAACCCATAAGGATTCTTATAAAGTTGAAGCGTGCTTTTAGCAATTTCAAAATAATATAGACTCAGACTTAGCATAGCAAGACTAAAATTGAAAAAAAAGGGGAAGAACTGGAAGGTTACCTTTGTAGTAGCAAAAGTGAAGTTTCATCTCATGGAGTAAAGAAAAAGGGCTGCTTTGGAATGGATGAATAAAATGCTATGCAGTTGTTTCTTCAAAAAGCTTAACATGAATTAACTAGCTTATGGTGTATGTTGCATATGTATCTTAACGCTCTCTCTTGTGCAAATGGAACTCTAAAGTTGAATTTCAGAACATGAGCAGAACCAAGCTGTACTCAACAAGTCGGTAATCAAGAGCAAGAACCAAATAAAAATTAGTGTGCATGGGGAGTGGGGTAGTCCTCTAGCTGTTAAGAACGTCATGCAATTCTGTAAAGCATATGTTTCTTGCTTACTCATGGTTTGGCTTGCATCCATATTACCTTAGACTTCTGCAATAAATTGTTATTTAATAAACTGCACTGTGTTCAATATACAATATTATCATAATAAATGATCTGGCCCGCTAATGAGTGGATTAGGTGCATTTCGGTGTTTCTGAGTTCTGATCATGGACATTTATTATCGTTAATTGTTTCCTATTTTAGTTCGAAATTAACATTATTGGAATTTTAATGAGACGATAGACAAGATGGAAGTTGTGACTCTACAAAAAGCAGATCGTCTAGTTTGGCCCGAATTTCTCCTTCTCATCATGAAAACTGGAGACGTAACATCCCAGCCTAAGTAGCATCGACACGCGACACGACACGACACGACACGACACGACATGACACGAAACGCCGACACGTCATTTCTCAAAAAATAGAGAAATCCGACATGTTAGGACACGCTGTATATTTAATGTATATTTTTATATGTACATAATAAATGATCATTTTTATGATTATTTCAGTCAAATTAATTTGATTCAAATCCATAAATAAATAAATAAATAAAAAAAGAGTGTCGGACGAGTGTCGGTGTCCGACACGACACCGAAGCCCCCGGAGAGTGTCCGTGCTTCCTAGATCCCAGCCCATAGTCAATTTTAGTGCTAGGTGCTCACTCTGTCCACGCGCTCGTGTGCCTGTGCATGTGCATGTGAGGTTTTTTATGCAGGTACGGGGTTGGGGGGTGGGGGTGGGGGTGGGGGTGGGGAAGGGGCTGTCATTGGCTCAGATGCTCACACCAAGAAGATTCATATTTGCAATTGCTTTTGTATCAGTTACTTTATTTAGTGAGTTTCATATTTCTGCAGCCTTATGCAGGAGCCTTTTTCTTCAGTGCCTCTTATATGGGTAATTCAAGACGATGTCCTTGCAAAACGCCTTCCATTTTATGAGGAAATGGACTGGAAGCATCTTGCCACTCTGTGGAGAAACACTTTCAGCAGAGCTGATGTCATCGTGTTTCCTGATTTCACTCTTCCGGTAAACTAGCTAATGTTATTGTTTGTGGTGTTTTTTTACTTCTTTTCGGCCACCTAGGAAGTCCTTTTCTGCAGTGCTTATTATGTCTTCCTGGATCAGATGTTATATAGTGTGCTTGACACTGGGAACTTCTTTGTCATTCCTGGATCTCCAGTTGATGTCTGGTCTGCAGAAAGGTATAGCCAGACTCATTTTAAGCATCAACTGAGGGAACTCAATGGATTCCATCGAGATGATTTGGTAGTTCTAGTCATTGGAAGTTCTTTATTCTACAACGAGCTATCATGGGATTATGCTGTGGCAATGCATGCCATAGGACCTTTGCTGGTAAAGTATGCAAGGAGAAATGATGGAGGGTCTTATAAGTTTGTTTTCTTGTGTGGCAATTCCACTGGTGACAGTGACGATGCCTTCCAGGTATCTGATTGTTTCCGCTCATTTTGTTATATTCTTTACATCACAGCTAATTTTCAGAAATATCCTATCCTTTTCATGAATGAGTATATGAGCAAAAGAGCTATGTTGAAAATGATGTGACCAATTTATTATGTCTATGTTGTGGGAGCATTTGTCTTTAGAGATGCTGAAAGCAAATGCATTGGAGTGGAAGAGAAGTTGCTTATCATGCTCCTAGGTTTATCTTCAGAAAAACTGAGTTACAACTATGAGTTGAAAATAGAATTAATTAGTCATTGTTCTACTGCTTATGGTTCAAAAAGAGACTGCAATTTCTTTCTTTTCCTCCCCACTTCCCTCATAAACTTTTCCTCCTTGACGTTTATTCAGTTAGTTGTATGTCTTATGGTGACTCGAAGTGATGTTAAAATTTAGAGATGCAAACAGTTTCTTGGCATAGATGTATGGCAAACTTCAGAATTTTACATGTTCTTAAGAGAATAATTTGATAGGAGACAGCATGTTAATTTGGTGGGCTATTGAGAGAAATTTTGAAATTAACAAACAAGGACACTTCTTTTTCCCTATAAAGGGTGGCATTTTATTCGACTTTCAAGAAAACGTTGCTCTCTGAGTCTGCTGACGAATTGTGATTGTTGTGACTACTGCTGCTATTGCTGCTGTATTCCGTCTGCCCAATTTCTAGCATGGTATTGTTATCTGCATAAAAAAAGTAAAGGAGGAAGCAGAGGTAGGGAGCTTAGTTGGTTGTTTCTGATGTAGTTACTTTGATTTTTTAGGAGATTGCTTCTCGTCTGGGACTTCTTCCAGGTTCAGTGAGGCATTTTGGCATAAATGCCGATGTTAATAGTGTATTGTCTATGGCAGACATTGTTCTTTATGGTTCTTCTCAAGATGAGCAGGGTTTCCCTCCATTACTTGTCCGAAGCATGACATTTGGAATCCCTGTTGTTGTCCCAGACATTCCAGTTATTACAAAATATGTACGTCTATGTCAGTTTCTCATCTTCATTTCTCTTAATCACGAGGACAGTTTTTCCTCTGGTTCAAGCTGATTTTCTGAAGGACCTAATGAAATTACAGGTTGTTGATGGCGTCCATGGGATACTTTTTCCGCAGCATAACCCTGATGCTTTGATGAGAGCATTTTCCTCTTTAATAGCAGATGGCAGACTTTCTGAGTTTGCCATCACTGTTGCATCTTCTGGAAAACTGCTTGCTAAGAACGTGATGGCATCAGATTGCATTAGTACATATGCGAAACTTTTGGAGAATATGCTTGATTTTCCATCAGATACCATTTTGCCTGGTCCTGTTGCTAAGCTTGAACAGTTGTCATGGAACTGGAATTTATTGGAGGGTGAAATAAATCAGGATGCAGGTGACATGCCTCATGAGGATTCAACACAAGCTGGTGTAGTTCATGCTCTAGAGGAAGAATTGACTGACCTTGTGGGTCTTAGAAACACCTCTGAGAATCAAACTGATACTATCGGAGATTTTCCAATAGAACAAGATTGGGCAGTTCTGCAGGAAATAGAACAATTTGAAGAGTTTGAGAAAGTAGAAAAGGAAGAGGTATGCAATATTTCATATGGCACTTTCATGATTCTCCGATCAAAGGTTCTCTTTTATATTTGCATACTAAATATTTTAATATTTTCTGCTGTTTATGAAAGAAAAAGGCATCTGAAAACATGATTATCTGTGTCCACTTTCAGCTTGAAGAAAGAATGGAGAGAGATCCCGGCTCATGGAATGACATATACCGTAATGCGCGGAAATCTGAGAAGCTCAGTTTTGAAGCAAATGAAAGGGATGAGGGAGAACTGGAAAGGACAGGACAGCCAGTATGCATTTATGAGATATACGGAGGGGCAGGAGCTTGGCCATTTCTTCATCATGGTTCTTTGTACCGGGGTTTAAGTCTTGTAAGTTTCTCAAGTCTCTGTTTTTTTTTATCAACCAGCTTCTCAATTCAATATGTTCCGTGAACAATGTGAATCTTCATATAATTGATTGGGCTCATGAAGCATTAGCATTCTTCGATGATTTAAGAATTACATAGGACACCATTTTGGTTATATTGCACTGACATTGCCTGGTGAATTTGCACGTTTAATTCTTTAACAGATAAGCCAGCGCAATGGTGTAAAAGGATTTATGCAGCCAACTCCACCCAGTGGGAAAGGCCTTAGTTTTAATGTTCGGTGTTGTTGACCAAACTGAAAGATTAAATTTCTATTCACCAACATGTTTGAAAAGAGGGATCAGTGTGTACTGTGGAAACGTTTCGAGATGTTTAGTGTACAGTTTGAAACTTGGTTTAAGTCGAGAAGCTGAAATAGTGAATGATGAGCATTTTCTGAAGATTAAATGGTGAACCTTTTCTCTTGGCACAGGTAGGTGACTTACCATGGTAACTAATAATGGTCCATGGCACACACAGAGTTTTATAGTTTCATTTGGCAGATTTCTCCTGGTTCTTGCACAGTTGATTGTTCTTATGCATGACACTGTTTCGCCATTTACTCATCCTCAACTTTGCATGACAGTCAACAAAAGCAAGGAGATTGAGATCAGATGATGTAGATGCAGTCAGCCGGCTTCGTCTTCTGAATAACACTTATTATCGGGATATTCTATGTGAGATAGGAGGAATGTTTTCTATTGCAAAGAGGGTAGATAACATTCACAGTAGACCTTGGATTGGGTTCCAATCATGGCGAACTGCCGGTAGGAAGGTACTCATTTATGTTGCAGGAATGTAGTATTAGTGATAAAATTTTTAGTGAGTTAGGTTCCTTGTATCCATTAATCCACATGAAAGCAGATTTGTTGCAAAAATTGATTTAGCTGTTGGTATCTGCACCATTGGATCTTTTCAAACTTCTAACTACAAATTTTTTTTTTGTTGCTGTATGACAAATCGAGCATCATTTCTTTGCCAGGTTTCATTATCCCCAAAAGCGGAGAAGGTATTGGAAGAGTCAGTACAAGGGGAGGAAAAAGGAGATGTAATGTACTTTTGGGCACGTTTAGACATGGATGGTGGTTTTAGTGGAAGCAATGACGTCCTCACATTTTGGTCTATGTGTGACATCTTGAATGGAGGAGGATGCAGGTATGTCATGTTAGCTTGAGTATTATAAGGGTGCGTTTGGTAACCATTCTGTTCCCGGAAACAATTTCTGCTTAGAAATGATTTTTCCTTTTTATTCTGTTCCTGGAAACAATTTCTAGGCATTTGAAGGCGATTGGTAACAGCCCAAAATTTCCATTTCTGGAATAGAAAAAGAACAGAAATGCGTTTGGTAATTGCATAAAATTTGTTTTTATTAATAATATTTTAATATTTTTTTCTTTTTTTTCTTTTTTTCTTCTTCTCCTTCTTGGCCATGGCCGGCGAGGGCGTGGTGGCCATGGCCGGCGAGGGAGTGGTGGCCCTCGCTTGTGGCCGGTGAGGGCTGCGACGCCCTCGCCGGCCTTGGCCTGAGGCCGGCCTCCGGTCGCCGGCAACCATGGCCAAGAAGAAGAATAGGAAAGAAGAAAAAGAAATTTTTTTTTTCTATTTCTCATTCTTGTTCCTAGAATCAAGAAGCAACTTTTTTTTGCTTCTTGATTCTGTTCCAAAACTGATTATGGGAACAAATTTGTGCAAATTTGTGCTCGGGAACAAAAAATTTACCAAACGAATTTCTGTTCCAAAACTGATTCTGGGAACAAAAGAATAGAATCAGTTACTATTTGGCCAGTTACCAAACGCACCCTAAATGTCTATCAAGATATAATGTCTTTGCTGATATATGGAAAAATTATACTGGCCTCCTTTCTGTTTCTGTTCTTTTTTTTTTCATGCCTTCTTAAGGGAGCCTCGTGCTATAACTCGTGGGAAGAGGTTTTTTGAGTAATTATTGTGTATGGAATACTTCCTTAATAACTCCCCATACTGGAGAACGAGATTACTTTGAAATTGCTTCAGGCATTAAAGTGAGAAGGTGGATTTCTATGTCCATTTTTGTAAGTTTGAAGTGAGTGGAGATAGACTTGATTATATTGGTCTTCATACTTTTCCTGAAATGAGAACAATTTTGTACTATCAACTGTTCAATGCAAAGGAAAATGCGTTTTCTTTGTTTCTTTCACCCAAAGGCAAAGTTGATTTGAACTAGTATTTTTGCGAGTCTGGTTGGTTGTCCTGCACCTCTGCGGGGATTCTTTAAACATCTTTTACTCAACATTGCATAAGTGTAGATTTCAATAGCTGACAGGTGTAATTTGTACCCAAATTCATGCAGAAATGCTTTTGAGCAAGCCTTCCGCAAGATATATGGTTTACCGTCACATATAGAAGCTCTTCCTCCCATGCCAGAGGATGGTGGCTACTGGTCTACCCTGCATAGCTGGGTGATGCCGACCCCGTCATTTCTTGAGTTCATGATGTTCACCAGGTGACATAAGTGAGACCATTCAAATGCCTCTTCTTCAGTTTACAGCGTTTTCTATTTTTTGAGTAAGCTGCACAACCCTGAATGTGCTTATTCTCAAATGCTACTTTGAACTGAATTGCAGGATGTTTGCCGATTCTCTCGACTCCTTGCATATAAATTCCAGTGCAACCAATTTCTGCTTGCTGGGTGAAACAGAGGCTGAGGTAAGTTGTTTTAGTGTTCGGGCAATTATGGTTCTTGTGATATTTTGTGAGCTCATACAGTACTTTTTGTCTCTGTTTTTATTTGGAATTACAATCTGCCGTGGAAGTCGGAAGTAATTCAGGTTTTCTTTGCTTGTTAATTCCAAACAGAAAAGTCATTGTTATTGTCGTATTTTGGAACTTCTTGTCAATGTGTGGGCCTACCACAGCGCCAGAAAGATGGTTTACCTAGATCCGCATACGGGTTCACTCTCAGAGCAGCATCCGGTTGAGCTTAGAAGGGGATTTATGTGGGCAAAATACTTCAATTTTACATTGCTGAAGAGTATGGATGAAGATTTAGCAGAAGCTGCCGATGATGGCGACAATCCAAGAGAGCCATGGTTGTGGCCATTAACCGGGGAAGTGCACTGGCAAGGGATTTATGAAAGGGAGAGGGAAGAAAGGTATAGGCTAAAGATGGATAAAAAGAGAAAGACGCGGGAGAAACTCAATGAGAGGATGAAACACGGGTACAAGCAGAAATCCCTAGGGGGATAGGACACGAGCAGCAGCCTCAATTGAGGCGGTCAGTTCTAATGGGCAAAAGTTTTCGTACACTTCACAGGCTACCCCAACGTCGAAACAAAGAAATGCAGCAGATTTGCAGGGGGATTGCCTGATTCTTTCTAACTGCGTCGATGTAAAACCAGTTTCAATCATTCTTTTGAAGGCTGGGAAGATCCGGAAGGGCTTCCATCATAAGCTGCAGTTGACTCGCAATTTTTTTTTTGACGAGATTTTGTTCGGTCAACTCGAGCGGCAGGAGGTACAATTGGTTTCCAAAAGAGCAGACACAAAGTTTGAGTTCAAAATTCGTTTCCACCACTCCAAGAGGGTTCAGTCTAGGCAAAAATTAGTATTCTTTCTCTGATGTATATTCTCTCTTCACAATATCAAAGGCGATCTTTTTATGGAGAGTGTCGAATTGAGGTTCGTTCAAATTTAATTCCAGGTTCCAATTCTTTGAACAGACTTGTATTCTTTGTACACTGTTCGAGGATCTGAATTCAGGGTCTAACGAAACAACAAGAACGAGGGATCAGGTCCTATCAATTTGACCCCGAACCTAGTTCACTCCATTTAGACCTTGAAGGAAGCGGGTAATACGACCATTCAACATTTATCGAATTTGAAGAGAGTCGCGAGCGGTTCAAACTGCATTCTGTCCTAGAGAGAGAGAGAGAGACGGAAAATTTTATTTCGACGAGTAGAATTCAGATAGCGACACGGGTCCGATGTGAATTCCTATTGGTGGCCATGTTTTTTCCCATGGAGCTGAAATTTTTGCTTTGTAAATTGCGTAGTGTAAAAAGACCTCGTGGGATATATATATAAATGAAACTGGCAAAAGCAGAAGGTACGATGATGATATAAAACGGGACTCTCCGAAAAAACGATAGAAGAGATTCCGACCGCGCGAAGCCGAACGTCTCTCCGAATTTGGGGGGGTGGTGGGCCTCGACGGGAGGGAACAAATCGACCCTCGAGCGCTTCTGATATTACAACATTGCCACTGGGTCGCATTCCGTAATGGAGCGATAAGCCTACGCTGCACGGACCAACTGGCTCCATTTTTGCCTCTCGTCACTGTGCTTCGGAAGCCGTAGGGTTTTGGGTTTTGGCTTCTCTCCATGCGTGTCGCTGTTCGAGGTAAGATGAAGCTCTCCGCTCGCTGACGTTCTTCTGCCCTCTTTCGCTTCCGCGCTCCAATCGATGTTCGCTCTCTCGCTCGCATTGCTTGCCTTTGCTTCCGTGAAATGAGTTGATTCTGACCGCGTCGCTCTGCTCCTCTCTTTCTTTCTTTTGGGGGTCTATTATGATTTTGTGCATTTCCAAGTCCAGCGGAATCTCCCCCTTTATGTGGTTGCCTTGCTACGGTTTGGCAATTTCTGTGATTCCTTCGTTCGTTTGTGTCAAGTGCTGTAGTTGCCTGCCTGTCTCTGGAAATTAGACTGGTTTTGGACCTGTGGTTGCGTCGTCGTGCTGATCTTGGATCGAGCTGGTGCGTCAAGGTTTGAGATTTTTTTTTTTCCGGAATTTGTTCGTCCGTGCCTGGGTTTGGAATTTGTGGTCTCGTGTAGTGTAGCGTAGCGCCAGTCGGTATGTGGGTCGTGTTCTGTGATGAATTGAGAGGGGAGAAAGTTGATGGACCGTTTGTTTGTTGCTGAGATGAGCCGAAGCGACGTGATGTTGCGGAGGTCTAAATTGGAGGCAGCCATCGCCGCGTTTGTTTCGTTTCTTGGGTTCTTTGGCTTAGGCCTACAGATTTTCATTCAGAAACTTCATTGACTCTGCTGTTAGTGTAGCTTTGCATTCTCTTGGCTAGAGGTTTATGACTTTTATACTCTCTCTCTCTCTCTTTTTCTCTCTCTCATTTTGTTACTGTTTCAGTGTAGGTCAGAAAGTTAGTTACTGTGTCCTGGTTTTCGTCGAAATTAGAACTACTAATCATGCAAATGAGTGCCCCACGATAAGTTATCGAGCATACTTAATAAATATATGCTCAAATTTTCGAAGAAATGATCGCACATATCGTGGACAAAAAGCTCGTCGCATTCAAATGCAACCTTTTTTCATATTTGGTCACTCTAACAAATGCTCTAAGGGCACTTTTTGATGATTTTTTTCCTTTTAAAATCTTATTGGTGTTTGGATGGTTGCAGTTGCTGCTTCCATTACTTGTTTCCAAGCCTCCCCTCTCTATATTTCGTCTGGCTATCCTACTTTCTCTTCCATCTGTTGGCCCATTTCTCGTAGTCTGATCTATCTTCTTTCTTTTCATGCGAGAGAAGTCTTCACGATTGCATTGTTTTAGCTTGTTTGTGGTATACCAATACATTTTAGCATTTATTATTAATTAGCCATGCTCAACTTCCAGCTTAACTAATCTAAGATTAATATCTGTATTGAATGTATCAGCTCTTCCTGTCAAGATCATTTTGTGATCGACTTACATATTCATTGCATAATCTGTGAATCTAAGACTTGAGAAATTGTCTCGGACAGTCAAATCCTTGTTTAACAACATTTGCATTACTGTGTGCATTGGGCTTTTGTTTGCCTTTTGCATCCGCCACCCTAGTTTCACAGTGCAATTGTTTAATTTGGTGCTTGTGAGTCAATTTTGGTGTGCTTTACTTATGTCCCACTAATTAATTCTGCTCTTGACATTCTTTTATGCAGTTTAAAATCTACAAAGCTGGTGCGCTTACCAAAGTCATGCATGCTATTAAAGGCAGTTGGGTTGGGCAGACATTTGCCTTGGCAAAGCGTAATGAGTCTGAGAATAGTGGTAGAAAGGCTCGAATCCGTCGATCGAAAGAGGAGAGAAAATCAATGGTTGAAGCATTCATAAAAAAGTAAGTGCATCAACTTCTCTTTAAAGCTCCTCAACTAGCATGATGATAAGCAAAATATAAAGCAAGACATGGCGCCCTGAGTTCCTCCATTTTATACTTATAGGATAACCATTGGCAGTAAAATGTTGAGCCTTGGATGTTCAACCTTTTTCCTGATCTATCCTAATTATGACAGGGAATAATTACCTCAGTCAACCTGTTTAATGCTGGTAGATTGATGAGATAAGTGAAAAAAACCTCTCCAGTAAAATAGCACCAGTTCCGAGCAATATTACCTTCTCTGATAAGTTTGTTTCGTAATTTTTTGAGTCTTTTTTATTTCCCTTTCCCATTGCTAAATATCAAATGGTCAAATGACATTATAAATCTCTACCTTTTTAAAGGTATTCAATTATATCTTTACCTTTTAATCCTATCAGAAAAATATCGAACCTTTTGAATTTGTTTTAAATCTATCCCAGGTCCTTTGACATCATTTGTGAGAGAGAATAATCCTTTGGATTCATTCAAATTCCGATTTCGTCCCTCCTCTTATTTGTTTTTTTGTTTATTCGTTGGATTCCCTCCTTCCCCCCTTTTCTTCCATTTCCTTAGTGGGAATAAGACCTAGTACTTGTTTCCTAATCATGCTAAAAGAAGGATATCGATTTAAATTTAAAAAAGAAGATTTATTGAGTTTTACTATACAAGGCAGGATATTTAAAGGGGACTAATTTACAGATGTTTAACTCAAGGGAGAATATTTATCTGGCTCCATATGAACCATTTTTTATTTATTAAACTGTTTATAAAATTTTTGGTATGAAGAGAAAATGAAAATTTAGGTTCTTCTAAACTAATATAGTCTTTATTGCAATATTAGAATTACTTAAGGTTGAAGAGGGTAAACAGGAAATCAAAAGACAATTTTTGGGAGGAGTCTAGTGTTGAGATAGATTTAATGTAATATTGGAACGTGAAAATTTAAGGTGGGGATAAAATTGAATAGAGGAGAAAAGGTGGGGATTTTTATTACGATTGGGCCATGTCAAAGTTGTCCTTTCTTATGGCCTTCGGAAATAATGAATTTTATTGCACGAACCTTCTCTTTCTCTGGTGGGGATGACACCTTGATGAAGTGCCTAGATGGCACGACTAATTCAAGCTGAGTCTATGGTCTCATTTCCTTTGAATCTCTTCCACTCAATCCATCTTACTGAACTTTAATTTACAAAGAATTCACTCTGCGTGGTCAAAGATGACATGTTTCATCTGAAAATTTTCTACCTTTCCACCTCTCAAACTCTGATAAGGATTCGACAAGGAGTAAGTTCCTATTGCATAATAAAAAATTTCAAATGGAAAATTAGGCCAAAGGAGGACAAGGATTTGTATAGATTTGTCTTTTTTCGTCTACCCACAAGTCATCAAACCTCCTCATGGCTGTTCAGTTTCTGTTGTGACTAATTTTGGGAAATCATACTGGATGTTATAATTTACTTTTGGTACTTTATTTGCAGGTACCAGAAATCAAACGATGGAAATTTCCCCTCGCTGAATCTTACACACAAGGAAGTTGGTGGATCATTCTATACTGTAAGAGAGATTGTCCGCGAGATAATCCAAGAAAATAGAGTTCTCGGACCTGCTAAGTTTGTTCAGGATGAACAGAGCAATGATCAGTTCTTGGAACAAAATCCACTTGGTACAATAGCCACTGAACCTCAAGTTGCTGTTTCCCAACCTTCAAAAGAATTGGATCGACAGGCTGACACCAAGGAGCTTGGACTTTTATCTGTTGGAAACTCTCATGGACATGAAGAACTGAAGGTTGAGGACGGGGAAATTGTCAATGGAAGTCAAGTAGATATCAAATTAACAGAGTTTGATAGATTAGCATCAACAAAATTGCAAGAAAATGGAGTCATAGAAGCTGGGAAGAATCTTAATGCATTTGCTGAATCAACATCTCAACTAATTAATTTGACCAGTGTAGAAGTAGAGACTTTTCCATTGAGATCGGTCAGTAAGCCAAATGACTCTGTAGATCAAATTGTTGGTGAAGGTAGGAATGAAGCTTCACAAGAACAAAATCTAGAGGCACATCTGGAATCAGGAAGTGACAGTGCTGTGTTGTATGAGATGAATTCGCGAGAAAATACTTATTCAATGGAGGAGAACACAGCGGAAGCTTTAGCTTCAGCTTCACCTGGTCCACTGGGACAAATACCTCATTTAGTTGATGTGGAAGTTGTGGAAGACTTTGCTGATCCTTTGTTAAAGAATTCTAATGGCTCATTTTCCAAGGAGAACATTCCTCATGATGCTGATGGCTGCATGGATGCCAATGATGCATCAGTTAGTGTTGAAGGATTGAGTTCAACACCTGCAGAATACAAGCAAGACAGGAATGCTGCTGGAGTGGAGGTGAGCACTCGCTTTTTTTCTACGATTTGTTGAGCGTCCATCTGCGAAAGCTTTGCATGAGAAGACACTTATATTGTGGAGTAACAAAGTTGCAAATGAACTTGGTGCGAATCATAGAGGGATGCAGTGGAAACATACTTGATACTTAAAATGAGAATGGCAGATAGATAACTCATCATTTTGTGGAAGTATGTGTCGGAGGCTGTGTTGTGAGTGGTGTCTTTCATGTGGCCAAAGTTTTGTCCCTGGAAAAGGGCTACACAGAAAATTGGTTCCGCAGAATGGAACATTTCATTTTTTGTATGTAACATAGAGATGTATATGGAAATGTTAAATAAGCTTGAATAGTTGAGACAAAATGAGCCTGAGAAACTTTCTTTTTGCAAAATGCTCGTTTTATTAGAATTAATTGTTAAGCATCTTCATGTACTTATGTCAAATTTACTTTTTGGCAAATGAAGAAATAGTGAACGGTTATAAATGGAGATCTAGATTTAACTTTTCATATGCCCTTGGTTTTCTGATCCTTTTGGTAGTTGATGAATTTCGAGTTTGTATCAAGGAATTCAGGTTGTGAAACAGATAAATGCCAACGTATGTAAGCCTATTAAGCATGTTACTGCTAATGAAATGAAAGAGAAATTGCCATTAGCATTTTTATTGTGGAAAATGGTATTTTTTTTACTACTATTTTGATGCCTATTACTCAAGTCACTGGAATTTGGCTGATCCTTCTGATTTATTCGCCCTCATTTCCTTTTGACTCACTTCTTGGACAATGGAATAGCGAATATGCAGTAGTAAGAGCAGTTGTTTGTCAATTATGCTGGCCTCTTGTTTGTTGATTGATGTCCCATTTGATTTCCTTTCTTGAGATGCCTTAACCTGCTCGTAATTTTCTGATACAAAATACTTCTCTGGACGTTACTATGTAATGTTTTATACGTTTTTAAACGAATGTGGCACATTTTCGGATATATTGTGAAACTGGCTTTGAATCATTATCCACCGATGAATATTTACGTATTTTGGTCTCTGAACTGAGGAGATGTTTTTGCAGGCTAAAAATGTTCCCAGTGGTGTTGATTCTGAAAACATAATCAGCAGTTCCACTAGAACTGACAGTCAGGTGTCATCGCAAGAGCTGAAGCTAAAACCTGAACCTAATGTTCAACCTAATGGCAGCGTCCAGAAAGGAATCAATCCCCCTTTAGACAGGATTAATCTGTAAGTATAGTATACTCGTTCAGAAATTTATCTGTTCATTGTGGATTGTTGCACTTTGAGAGAGAGCAATATGTGATGTTGGAATATATTCTTCAAAACCATGCTGAATCACTCATAAACCTATGGTATGCATGTACGTAATTCTATATGCCAGCAATTGTATTGCTAAGTCCGTCGTTTGCAGTGTATCCATGTATGTTACCAAAGTCTCACTCTTCACGATTATTGACTTATTTTGTTGGTTTGATTTCTCTTTGGCAGCGAATCATGGGAAGTGGCGTCCAAGAATTCTTCCAAGCAGCCAATGAATCCTATATTTGCTGTTATAAGAGCAATTGTCGTGTCATTTCTGAAGTTTTGGACTGAGTAAAAATTTTGTGGTTTTCAAAGAGCCTAGTGAATCCTGCCGTGTGGAAAACGTATGGTTTTTCTTGACTATTTTCTTATTCTTTCTTTGGAATGTCTCGCTTGTAAATTCTGGTGGGCCGTATATTTCTCTGGTAAGCTGGATGATGCCCACGAAGTAGTTTTGATGTGCAGAATCAGAATTAGCTACAATGAAAATTAATTGCCACTTCTAGGTTTCCTGAAAATTGAAGGGACGAAATAGGAACACAGAAAGTGAAGAAGTGATGTATTCCTGATGTCTGAGCAGGAACTTGGAGTGAATGACAAAAATCCTGACCGAGACACATCCACTGAACAACAAATCCTAGCTAGAGTGATGATCAACTACAACGTAAACGGTCTGTGTCGTGGTGAGAGCTATGACCAAGAAAGCAGAGAAGACCGATATGACTGACCATGGACTGGAAAAGTAAGTGCGCATCATGTTCGCCCAGTTGCTGTAGTAGTACGATTCCAATTCCTCGAACTGCTTGGACAGATAACAGTCGTGAACATTGAAAACGATACTCTTCCCAAGCTTATTGAACAAATTAGCAACATACTGGTCATCATGAGAAAATCTGGTGATGATCCCATCGGAACAGAGGAGCGACACATCTTTCGGTTCATTGATGAGGCAGTGCATGAAGGTGACGTAATCGGTGATGTACTTGAAGCTGTTTTCCAGGCATTGTTCCAGGGCGACGCAGTTTATCAGCACGGTGGTCGTGAAGTCGTTGATGGTGATGGATGGTATTTCGAGCACCCGTTTCCTGAAACTTATGTTCAGGAAGTTCTGCGTCTTCCTGGACTTGAATTTGATTCCGGAGGGCCTAAGCTGGGTCACACGCGGCAAGGACTGATGTGACGGCCGGTACTTCTGTGGGTAGTTGCTGTGGACCCCGTTTGTCGGAAAGAGAGTCAAGTGAAACAGGTCAAGTAAATGATTGCACTGGACATATCCGTAACATTTGAGAAGCTCCGCGGGTACTGGATAGGCCAGATCGAACATTTTCAGAACGAGCGTGCCCATAGTTTCTGTTTCCAGGCCGACGACCCTTACTAAGCCTGACGAGGAAAACACTGTCTCGAGAAGGAAGTACGGAACCTGGTTCTCCAGCTTCAGTAAGTCCCTGATGAGAATTGGGATAATCCAAAGGCTGTGTAAAGATGGGGTCGTCTTCGTCAATCGCATCATCGCTAAGCAACTGTCAAGTAGCATCATCTCCACGAAGTGGTCACTCGACATAAGCACAGGTTTCCGAGTAGCAACCCCCGGGCAGTACTTTCTGCACGTGCCACAGATATGATGAGACTTTCCACGTTCAAGGACGTGCGGTGAAGGAACCTCTTGAGGAAGATCCACTTGTGCTGTTCGAACTCGAGCAAATTCTCCCGGCCCCTGTGGTACGGGCCTATAGATACAATCTCAGGCTGTTCGGCCTTAGGATTTGATCCCGCAGAGAGTTGGAGGGATCCTAAAGATGGTGCAAGACGAGGTCCTGGCTCGGAAGCTTCTTTCCCTCTCCCTTTCCCTTTCCCCTAGTCGGCTCCTAACGCGGGCCAAGCAGTAAGTTACTGCCTCATTGTGCGATCCTGCGTCGGCATCGACTAGGCCGGCTCCATCATTGTTTCTTGGGGATGAAGTTAGTCCAGTACGCCTAAACTGTTCCCATTTTGTCATCGACCCGAGCTGATCGATCCTCTCCAATCGACCCTGCAGCGGATCTGATTTTGTCTTCTTCAATTGCTGGATCTCCCAGTTCCTCGATCTCGTTTGCTTGATGATCCATCTCTCTCTCTCTCTCTCTCTCAAACATATGAAAGCATACAATGTGCTTCGAAGCAGAGTGAGAATTTGTAATCAAAATTGATATCCCATTTCCAAGAAATTTCCAGCATGATGCGTTCTTCTAACTTCCAAGAAACTGTCCACGATTTCCAGCATGACGCGTTCTTCTAATTTCCAAGAAACTGTCCATGATTTCCAGCATGACGTGTTCTCCGGCACGAAGCAAGCACATTGACCCCAGGTCAACTGTCTGAGAATGTAAAGTACATTGACCCCAAGACAGGTGTATGAGAATATATATACTGATAAATTTGATTAAGTTAAACCTTAGGGATTTTCCAATTTTCAATTGATTTGTTAAAATCTTCTATGTTTATTTCTTCTCTTTTGTAAAGGAGCTTGATATGAGGACATTTGTGATATAGAATTAGAGGAAGACATTGATCTTCTTGATAAACTCATATTAACAGGCTTGTTTTTGCACCGTTTAGGTTACCAATCAGAGCTAACCGATGAATTCACAACCTCTGTGGGCTTTACTACCGGGACCACTAATGATTTTACTTACCTTGCCTAAATTGTGTACAAGAATAAACATGTACGGAAAGAAGAATAATCCATGCATCATGATCGTTAAGAGAAAAAAGAAAGGTGATTAACTCAATTAAGTTAAATCGTGTACAAAAATAATCATATATGAAAAGAAAAACAATCCACGCACCATGGTCGTCAAGAGAAAAAAGAAAGGTGATAAACTCGATTAAGTTAAAACGATATCATTAGCAAAAGTAAACACTTCGGGCGACTAAATTTAGCAAAAAAAAAGTCTTCAAAAAGGCAAAATGCCAAATCTAAAGCACCTTTGACTTCACCTTTTCGGCTCTCTATCATCATCTCGCAAAAAGGAGCGAGGGGGACGGGTGGGCTCCATGCAAGAAGTCTAAAAAGGCGACCGGAGAGGCAAGAAATCATACGTGCCTTTCACCAAAAGTTGAAACATGATGTTGTCGGAAAAATTATTACGTATTAGAGAAAATTACGTAACTCTATTTGTTGTAATAAAAAAAACACAAATAGTGATAACAAATTTAATAAGGACCAAGCCAATTTATACTTTTTATGAATAGAGATGCCGAATTACAATTCAAATAAAGACTTACTTGATTGTAATAAAACCTCTTTTAGGGGTTTCCATTTAATGGGTACGTACTCTTTTAGGTGCTTGGAGATGGGTTTCAAATGGAGTGATGGACCTGCACTCGTGGGGATTCTCCAAGAAATCCAAATAATCTTGGTTTGTTTTTTCTCCTGCCTAAAAGCATTGGTCCATTTGACAAATTTGCAATTTAAATTTGAATGGTTTATCTTTTGTTCTCTTGGCAAATTTTACACCCATAGGTCCAGGTGCTTTTTCCTTCGATTTGCTTGGTCTTCTTAGTAAGCATGAAAATTTAGGATTCATTTGGTCTTCGTGTTTTCGACTTGATTTGATTTGGGTATGTATGTACCTACATACATATATTTCGCGGCCTTATCATAACCCTAACGGGAGTGACCGTGATATATCCACAGGGTTGTCAACCTCCTGCAATAGACTAGCCAAAGCAAGCAGTCTAGTCTGCTCACCCTATTCAATGCCAATAAAATTCAGAGTTAAGTGGCAAATTTTGGTGGTTGTGTTGTAGAAGTGGTTGACATTTTATTAATTTAGTCACAATTGCAGCTATCCTAACTCATTTTTGTGGAACCTTTTACTCTCCCTCTCAACTGCTTATTGATTGGGTTAGGTACTCTCTTATGTCAGGTAGCTACAGGAAATATGGCTTTAACCACTACAGCTGTAGTCAATTTTTTTTCTGATCCCAACAACTGCAACACTTTGAGTTTGGTCCTCTTCTCATTCATAGTGTCAAATTTTCTCTCTGACTTCTTTTGTTGACGGTGAGTTCACCTCAGAAAATGTCCCCCCTAACCAACCTCTGATAAACTCACGAAATTACGAATTCGTATACACATGCGATAACATTTCAAGTTCGACATCGGTAGGGGAGGTTCTGTTGAGTAATCCATAAGTCAACATCCACTCTCAAATCGTCACCACCTTGTATAGTTACTGATAAGTCAACATATACTTTCAAATGGTCACCACGTTGTATGGTTACTCAGAGCACTTCCTTTGTGGGATTGGCCCGTTACTTCTATTCATCAAATTTAAACGTGAATCGGAATGGAATAAAAGACGGGAGAATAGCTTTTCTCCAAATCTGTAGTGGTTATGCTTTTTAATTGCATTTGAATACTCGGCCTACAAAACTTCTGATTCAGATCAACAGCCTGTGCATAAGTAATTACTTTGTTGGTCATATATGAATTCAATCTTCTGTTTAGATAGAATGAGACTCAACTCATGGGATTCTTACAAAGTCAATGAAACAGGAGCTGATCCACTCGAGCTTTTTTCTCCCCAACTCAGCTTACACATACAGACAGACGGGGCATGGGTAAGTTAATGAGAAGTAATGTGAAGATGACCTTGAACATTTTATTGTGCATATATCTATTTATTTTTATCTTTTATGACAAGATTAGTGGAACTTCTAGCTCGGTTAATCTCCTTAACTCACTTCCTCCTCCTTTCTTTGGATCCGCAAAATAGATGATTTGGGTTCTTCTGCTTCTGCAGAAAGAGAACATAAGCAACAAAATGTCTAATTTCTTAATCAATCTTTGATGTCTTAATAACAAATAAAGGATAACAAAGAGAAGGTGGGTTTTAAAGTGTTGTTTCAATGCGTCTAATCAATTGAACACAAACCCCTAAAAAGGTTGGCCGAGTGATCAAACACCTAGCTTGGATTCAACATATTTCGTGTTCCAATCACGTCTCGCACGCTCAAAATATCCATGGGAGAATTTACCACATTATGGATGGAGCCTTATTGATGCGCGTAGACAAAGCGATTTTCGTACGTTTGTGAAAATTAGTAAAAATCGAAAGATTCGGATATCTTTATAAAGAGAATGGTGTCGGACCTCGAAGTGGATATATCTCATCGGAGTGAAATTTTCCAAAAGTAAGTAATGGTACATGAATGGCATGGGGACCAATCTAGGAGAGGGTGATATGATGTCCATGCACATAAAATACATTGTCTGCCGTCTAGGCCGGACATTGCACGTGGAGAATTTCATTTTTAATAACCGGCAAAGCAATCAAAATCCATCCCCCTTTGTTGTGTGATTGCGATGTACTGGGCAGACATTCGCATTCAAGTCTCCCCCATGGAATCCTAGGCATCCTTAACCAGAGTTTTGTCTTAATACTAAGCCGGGTATCATATGTTAATCCGCTAGTTAATGGACATTAAAGATATCCCATAATCCAAAAAATTTGCGGCAACTTTGTACCAAAAAAAGTTGTTTCCTTTTCTCTTATTAGTCTTAGGGTACAAAAATGTGCACAAAGATTGTGTTTGTCTTTATCCCACTTTATAAATATATATCATTAGTCAATAAACAAAACAAGTAGTTTATGTTTTCTACAAGATTTACCGAGCCTGCCTCTTTCCAAACAATTCATATTCCGAAACACCACACCGTTCATCTATATTGGGATAACTAGATACTCATTTCGTGCCCTCGTGATAGAAAAAGAAATTATTTTCATAACCATTGCTTGACAGGCAAAAAAATAATTAAAAATAACTTATTTCTAACTTCTTCAAAATGTGAAATTGCTTCTTGTCGATTTGATGTCTTCCGGAGAAAATGAGAACTTCCATACATTGACAAATGCATGATTCGAGTCGAGGGGGCAATAGAGACCATCAGCGCGCCTTCTAATTTCGCCTTCTAATTTCGCCTTTGATAGTGGTGGGGCTAGTAACGCTAGTAGTCTTAAACTTTTGCTCGATAGGCAATATCATTCTCAAACTTTACGCTCAATTGAATTAAGTCCTGTAGTTTTGATTGGACATTTTTTGTACGTGTCGAATGACTTAACTAGAAGAGTTGAATATACAGGGACAAAAAGTGGAAATTTTCTTTTCCAAGTTGACTTAAACAGAAACCGGTAAGAGCATAAAGATGGAAAAATAATATTAAATAAAAAAAAGGGTTTTTCTCAAAAGCTGTAATAATTGTGCTCTTTAATGCACTTGAATACTCGACCTCCGGTAGCTTCTCAAGTAGATCGACAACCCAAAAATTTTGGAAAGCTTTTACTATGTTGGTCATACGTATTAATCTTCTGGTCTGACAATTCTAATTACAAATGGGCGCACGAAACACCGGTCGATCGACGGCGTCTTTGCACGCTCGGGCTGCTCTCGAAGGCCGGGCGCACCGCTCCCGGACAGAAACATGGATGGGGGCGGCGATTTGCGCGCACCCGCGAGGGAATGACCAGCCGGGTCGAAAGATCCGAATACCCGTGTCGTGCAAAGGAATCGATGATCACCGTGAATACTACCTCGTCATACGTATTTAGAATTCGAAGAAAGAATAGTTAATTCTGCATGCATCTCATGAGGAGCAAGCCCGGACACTTCACGTGGGAAAAACAACTACATAAATAACCGGCGAAACCAACGTCCATCCCCCCTTTGTTGTGCGGTCGTGATGCGACACATCTTTTGTATTAAAAGTTTCCTCCATGGAATCCTATGCAAACCACCTTAAGGAGGAACTTGTCATTATACTAACCCATGTGTAATAACTTATATGTTCATTTTCGAGAGTTAACTGAAATAATTTGCATAAGTAACCCTTTACTTCTTCGAATGCACACTCCAATAACCTCTAGACAGAACGAGGGAGATTTCGGATAAATTGATCTGCAGCGAAAACGTGCGTGTTCGATGGTCGGTAGGGTGTTCGAGGGTCCTGGGGACCTACCCTGTGGACATCGATTTTGAACTTTTAGAACCCGTAACGCGCCATATAAGATCTCTGAACCACGTAAGAACTGAGAATTTGTCGGTTCTACCGGCCTTAAAATTCGCCGAAAGAACTACATGCATTGGATTTGACATCAGGAGTTAGGACTGAATCGACAAAATTTAAAAAAAATTTATGGGGTTAAATTGGTATCCGCACAATAAATTTCGGACTAATCGATCAATTGTCCCTATTTAGACATGAAAAACTTGTAAGGAAAAAGTAAAAGGGCGATGCATATCCACTAATTTAAGTACTTCACAAGGTAACCCGCGTGCCTTTCCCATGAGCTAACTCGTGCACAAGATACAAGATTTAGGGATTGACACGACTTTAGAACCTACCTCATACTCATCGACTTCGAAATTTCAAAGCCCGAAACCTAATCCGTGATCTTAAACACCCACCTCGAAACCGATCAGATCGCACCGGCTTTGCCGGTTCCCGCAAATTCCACATCTTCTCTCGCGCATCCCTAATTAATCCCGATTATTATTATTATTATCACTATCATTATTATTAGCTGGGCCATCTTCCAAAGAAGATGCACGAAGGAATAAAGTGACCGACAAACCAAACCACCTCCCTCTCTCTCTCTCTCTCTCTCTCTCTAAACCTTCATTCGTACGGCTTCGAAATTCGTTTCCTATATATAAACACGCAGGTGCAACCTCCCCCGATGCTCTCCTCCCTTCAGCCCAATATCCCTCTCGTCTTCTTCGCTGAATTCGATCCCCCAGAAATGGCGACCCATCTGGATCCGGCATCGGAATTCGGCTCCCCCCTGGCTCCGGTGCTCCCCATGTTGCCGCCGCCCCTCGAGGCCCGAGTCGGAGCCGCCGAGGCCGACGACCCGGCCGCTGGCGAGGAAGAGTGCGGGACCCCGACGTCCCGGAAGCACAGGATCCCGCCGGCCCTGACCTGCCCGGCCGCGCCCCGCAAGCCGAGGGCGAGGCCGACGCCGGCGGTCGTCCCATGCAAACGAGCCTCGCTGTCGGAGGATCGTCGGCTCGAGTTCTTCGAGGTCACGAGCCGCGGGGAGGTCGAGCGCTTCTTCAGGAGCTGCGGGGACGCCGCCGCCGCCAACGCGGCCAAGCGGAGGCGTTTCTTCTGCAAATGAGACGAGCGCTGGTCGGATGGAGAATTGTTCTCTCCTCCTCCTCTTCTTCTTCTTCTTCTTCTATATATTATTATTTTTTTATCTTTTGAAATTCCGTTTTTTTTTTGTTGAATATAGAAATATTCTTTTGTGTGCTGATGATGCACGTGAAATGTTTACTCGCAATTACTGAGGGTGAATTGAATTTTACTTGAACATGGAGAGAAATCTTCTTTATTAGTTTCTCCGTAATTAAGTTTCGAGATTTACTTAAAGAGTTTACGAACATCGCAACCTTCCCTAACCGAACCGGCTAGGTGATCATCGGACCGGCCGGCCCGGCCTCCAGGTGAGTTATTCGTGAATTTTCTCATCTTCGTATCCGGGTTCGAAGCGAGATAGATAATGCCTCGACTTAGGAAGTATAAAAGTACACATATTTTGTGAATTTCATAGACCATCATATATATATATTTAATTATTGAATTTAGCATCTTTAGTACCAAAATCGAGCAATGCTCGCATCAACTAGGTGCCCACGAGTCCAGTCAATTGCAACCATCGAAATCATTTAGATCTCATCTCACGTGAATTCCACATGAATCAACGGCCGAGATGCATTGGGCCCCATAAGCGCATCGGGAATTATTCTAGAATTTCGTGGGTCGCTCCCGCCGATACCCCTTATTTCGCCATTTGGTTCGCTTTTTGGGTTGAGAGGGACCCATGGGCTTCTAAAAAGGTGGACAAGATGTGGAGATCACCCACCGTCCAAAAAACAGCATATAGTGAAATCCCATGTTCATAAAAAAAAAAAATTTTAAAAAAAAGGAACTTTACACCCTTATAATATTTAATTATTGAATTATTTCCCTAATTAATCTCATGTAGGGTACGTATACGCCGGTGCCTTGTTACCGAAAGTGCTAAAGTTGAGGCAAAAAGGAAAGAACCCACAAAAACCAGAACTACAGAGGCACATTAGAAAATTATGCACCTAATTATTGTACATCTCATAACCATCGAGTGGGACCAAAAACTTATTAGACGCACAATTCCGACGGTCGATGGGTCCGATCAAGGAGACGGATCATGTGCACGATAGTATGATCTATTGTATATGACGGGTGTTAAAGAAGGTGTGTGTGGGCACGAGCGGACCTAAGGGGGGTCGGTGGTGGCACCCTCCCCGCCTAGGTTCAAAAATATGTGTACATATATGTAATTTATTGAAAATATGTGTCTCGACCCCCAAGTTGGAGTTCTCGGCCCGTCATTTTGGGTGGGCTCGAGTCATCTCGTGACAACGGGTTCGTCTCACACATATGAGTAACTAATTTACTTTCGGTAATAATCACGTGTTATGCTCTCGAGAGTCTAAACTGGTGTATGTAAATATTTGAAAGAAAAAAGAAGAAGAAGAAGCGCTTTGACGTCGAATAAATAATTCAATGGATTGGAGCGGTATACGGGTCGTTTGAACCGCCCGGTTCGAGTAGATGGGAAAGGCCTCAAACAATTCGAGTCATTCGTGTGCGATGCCATTGGATCAGGAGTAGCGAAAAGGGATGTGATAGTTGATTAGGCGACATCCCATGAGTTTGCAACACACAGCTAGATGGGTTGGGACAAGCCCATCCGAAAAATCCTTTGCCCATTCTTGCTTTATCATTTCAAAAAAAAAAAAAACCTTAAATCCTCTGGCAGAAAAACTCGGTCGGGACTACGACGTACGAAGAATTTCTCGCTTAGACCGAGCCATTCTAAAAGAAATTCATCGGGCCTATCCCGCACGGATGACGGGCGATCGATGGTTGGACAATGATCACTTTTAATTTAAGTGTCTTTTTAGGTATAGGATAAGAAAGTAGTGTCACGAATAAATATGTTTAGCGTGTAATTATATTAGTGGCATGTTTAGCGTGCACTAGTAGTATAAGATAATCCTTTTATTAAACAAGTGAGATTGGAGATTATACAAATGCCTGCCTTACATAACTCATAACAATATATTAATTCACGGAGCGAGAGAAAAGAAAACATGTGGAGGAAATTGATAGGCCCAATTTTTTTTTTTTCCTCAAGGGAAAGAGGGCGACTGGTCAAATTGATAGGCGTCTCTGCCAGCGATTTCCGGGAAAAAATTATCTTGAAAGATTCGATTGGCAAATTGCCAAAAGGTTTATGACTAAATTGGCACAAATGTAATAGATTTAGGACTTTTTTGGTAAGACAACACGATATTAAGAAAGTAATATCTTGGTTTACGATTGATTAATCAAGTTAAGCCAGACAAACAAAATTACATTTACAGCGATTATATCTTACTTGAATCAAGTTCAGCTAATGTTTTTTTGGGTCGGAAAGTTCAGCTGGTTTTTCTTTTCCGGTTGAAAGTTCAGCCAATTGGCTCGTCGGACTCGGGAGACGTACGAGCTTGGGAGTTTAGACTTTTTAGATACAAGGATAGGCCACCTAAGCAAGTGTAAAAATATCTGTACGGGCTTGTTTGACACGTACGTGCGACCAAATTTCATTGGTCAGAATTCACAATGCCCCACAAATTTAAGAATAGTTTACACATGGCCCCCACGTCGAGACTTTCTTTCTTGTTGGGCAAGTGTACAACTCGTCATCGCAGCCATAAACGAACGCCAGCGACGCAGACGTGCTGGCCTTTATATGTGAGCCACTTCACTCGCAATTGCACTCGCGCACAGAGAGAGAGAGAGAGAGAGAGAGATGGCAATAACAGAGAAGCAAGAGGTGCTGGTGAAGGAGTCATGGGAGATACTGAAGCAAAACGTTCCTGAGTACAGCATTCGCTTGTTCTTGCGGTGAGTTCAGAGATGGAGAGAGAGAGAGAGAGAGAGTGAGAGCGCTATCGATTTCTTGCTATGTATGATTGTGTTTGTGTGTATACGTTCGCTAAGTTTAAATGTGTCGGATTTTGTGGGATTGTAACTAATTATTTTGAAAGCTGAAACTGTTAGATGAAAGAGTGATTTAATATTTCAGTATTCTAGTGAAATGGTTCGTCTGTTGATGCACGAAAATGATGTGTGTAAAAGGATAATGGAGGTCGCCCCGCAAGCCAAGAACATGTTCTCCTTCCTCAGAGATTCGGACGAGATCCCCCAGAACAACCCCAACCTCCAAGCTCATGCCATGAAGGTCTTCAAGTTGGTGAGTCTCTCTCAAACACATCATGCGTATGACATAATTATCTACAAACCCTTGTTTTCGGCTTTCGCTAATTAATCTCTCCCTGCCTCCATCCGTTCTTCCCTTTCCTCGGTGATTTCGCTTATACTGTCTTGTCGTGCTTAAACAGACGTGCGAATCGGTCGTCCAACTCCGTGAGTGCGGCGCGATTGCGATCGCGGGTTCGGCTATGAAGCACTTGGGCTCCGTTCATCTCAGGATTGGAGTCACCGGTCGCGACTTCGATGTCCGTAACAGATGCCTCGGCTCCTCTTTCTCAGATTAAATTTGCATGTTGTTGTGCTTATACCTCCATTAATCATCATCATCACGTAGATTGCCGTTGCTGAACTCACTGATCTGTGAACCAGGTGGTGAGAGATGCGCTGCTGAGGACGATCGAAGAGGCGGTGGGAGAGAAGTGGAGTGAAGAGATGGAGGGTGCATGGGGCGAAGGCTATGACCAGTTGGCTGCAGCCATCCAAGCAGAAATGAAGGACGATGCGGCCCCGACCGCTAATTAAGCATTCGGATTTTTTTTAGGTTTACTGCCGGTCCGAGGTATATGATCTTGTTTAATGTATGGAGAGTGTGCGTGCTTGTGATAGGGTAATTTTGTTATGGTTTTTTGTATCGCGCCCTTGTGACATATGAAATAATTGGGTTAGTCGCCCGTGTGTCGAGAATTATAGTGAGATCATCTCTCTAATCTCCAGTGTTATGCTTGCTCGGGTGGACTGCTTTAAGTTTTGCTAGGATGAGTTCGATTCATATCAAAGTGAATCCGTCTGTCCAATTCATATTATAATCCTGCCGGAAACAATTGATTACGTTCGTCGCGTGCACCCACCACGCTCGCAAGCCATGCTAGTCATTTCATCAATGCAAAGAGGAGGGGTCGTGTAGCCACTTTGACTTTTAATTTGATTAAATTCAGTATTTTTTTTTTGGGTAACCGAGGTGTCCGGGCCAGCTTGCGCGCACCTCGACTATTCCTCGGGAGAAACTAGCACAGCAACACACCGCCATGGCCCCCCACTTAAATCACAAGTGCTCAGCTGGGGAATCGAATTTGGGACCAGTGCGCCTAACCACACAATCCCAAGTACGCCCTAACCAACTGAGCTACCCATGGATGGGTATCATGAATCACCTGTAAAATTATTTTGTTTATTCCGTCTCTTCGCCCGCTAGCGAACCCTCGACCAAAAAAGTAATTAAGTTCTGGACATGAGTTTCCTTCGACATGTAAGTCAGTTATCAAATCTTTGCCGGTTTAAATGTACAAGCCACTTTCATTTAATAAGAGTTTATACTTGATTAATGCGACGAATAATGAAGGTGATCAATCAACATGTAACTAAACAAAGAAACGTCGACAATAGGCATGCGGTCCTGCTGGTAAAAAGATTGTGGAGGACGCTAGTATCGAGGTAAAGCAAAAGTCAAAGAGTTGGGTTAAAGATATAATAAACAAAAAAAAAAAACAAAGAAACGTCAATCTATCCTCACCTTTTCTAGACATGAAAATTTCCCAAACTCTTGCCCTAGAAAACTCTATTCTCATAGTCTCTCGTAATCTTTGAATATTTCATTTTTCAAGACACTTTACTTGGTTGTCGGTACGGCGATGTCGAGATATTTTGGGGAAAGCACAAAGAGCTAATTGATATGAAAAGATTTCAGGCATGATATAGATTATTTAAACTATTTTATGTAAATATTTGCAATTGAATGATCCCTTCACTTATTGGGGAGAGGAAAATTGTCCGAGAAGTCTTAAACTTATTGCATGGCGGTCAATTCAGTTATAAATA